GCCAGTTGGACCTCCGGAAGCAGGGGAGTGCCCACCCCATAGCACCCTGGCCAGTTCCTGGCATCCTCCTGGACAGGCTCCCAGAGTCCCACAAAGGCCCTCAGACAAAGTTCTGGGCCAGGCTTTGCCTGTGCCCTGGGCCCGCAGCCGGCTGGCTCTAGGCTCTGTGAGTCCCTGGCACTCCCTGTGGGACTTTGTCTCCAGGCCCTGGACCAGTGTATCCAGGGCCACCTTCGCTGGGGGAGCGGGTGGGACAGGCAGCTCCCAGAGCCTGGGCAATCTCTCTTCCCTCCTGCCCAAGGCCCTGCTGTCCTCCAGTGACCTTCCCCCGATCTGAGACTTGCTCAGATGGCGCCCTTTCTCACTTGCCTTCTCTTCCTGGCTGCAAATCCAAGTCCTCGGCTTCTTCAGAGACCTGCTCATGTTCTACCACCCATTTGTGCATCCATTCATTCATTCGGCAAATACATATTGAGCACCTACTACACTCCAGGCCCTTGCTAGATGCTGGGGTCCTGGCAATAACAAGGTAAACGGTTCCAGAGCTTCCTGCACTTTACATTCCAGGGAGGCACTAAGGAGGAGACTAGTAAAACCCATACCTAAAATTTGATTTCATCTTGTGATAAATGGGGGAAGCAAATCAGTTCTTTCTCCAGGAAGCTCCATCCTTAGGGATATTTGCCCTGAACTGTGGGGGGAGGGACTTTGTTTGGGCCCTTCCCCCACCCCTCCTCGGGCCTGGCATCCAGGCACAGTAGGTGCTCAGCAAATGTTTGTTGAAAGAATGGGTGGATTATTATTTCACAGTCAGGGGCCGTCCAGTGAGGATGGTCTTCCTCCCCACTCTCCCTCCCAGCCAACACAGGATGCTTAGGTAATGTGGGGGATGTGCAGACCCTGAGGCTTCAAGGACCCTCACCCTCACCCCCAGCCTCTATGGCTCCCTGCCCAGCTCCTTACTGCTCAGCTTCCCTACCTCGGGCCTGTCGGATCCTCTCAACCCACGAGTGGGTTTGCCTATGACCTCTCGTCTATTCTCTGGCATTACTACCTTTTGGGTGCCCCCTGTATGCTGGCCCTAGGCACAGGAGGAGCTGGGGACCTGAAGAGGACTGAGAGGGGTCCTCGCCCTCAAGGAACACGCAGGCCAGACGGTGCTGGCACAGTGTGGTGCGTGCCATGACGGGGCAGGTGTGGGCCTAGAGGCGGCAGGCCTGGCCTGGGGCACCTCCTCAGAGACGCCTTCTCTGTCCGCCTTGCAGAGGAGTCCCCACCCTTCCAGCTAGGTGCTGTCACATCCCCCCTTTTTCACTTCAAACCACTTTTTACTGTCTGCAGTTTCGTTGTTAGTTTGGTCCTTTGCTGAGTGTTTTACTGAGTGCCTACTATGTGCCAGGCAATATGCTAGGCCCTGGGGATACAGAAGTGAAAGAACGAATTTCCTGCCTCCCTGAAGCTTATGGCCTATGGTGGCAGTGGTGGTCGGGAGACTGAGAATGCAGACTAAGCAAGCAAACATGTGGTGTGCAGACATGTATTATGGAGGAAAAGAAAGCAGGTGAAGGGAGAGGTGGGTGAGGGAGGAGTAGTATGTGAGGTAGGGTGGTCAGGGAAGGTGATATCTGAGTAGAGAGGCAAAGGGGATGAGGTGAATTATGCAGCTGTCTAGGGGAGAAGTGTTTTAGGCAGCGGGAATAGCGAGTGCAAAGGCCCTGAGGCAGGAGCATGCCGGGTGTGTTGGAGGAACAGCTAGGAGGCCAGTGTGGCTGGAACGGAGGTCAGAAAGGTGGTAGGGGCCAGGTCATGGAGGGCCTTGTAGCATGGCACACACTTGGCTTAACTGTTAGTGATGTGCCAGCCTTTGGAGGATTTGGAGCAGAGGGTTTCACAGGGTTCCTTTGGCTGCCGTGTTGGGAAGGTCGGTAGTGGGGCTGGGTGGAAGCAGCAGGACTGGTTAGGAGGCCCCAGAGCTATTCCAGGTGAGAGGTGCTGGCGGCTGGGGCCAGGGTGGTGGCAGTGGAGCTGAGAGGAAGTGGCCAAGTTGGAAGTACTTTGAAAGGAAGCCCCGTAGCATTTGTCGAGGCATGTGGAGTGTGAGAGACAGAGGCAAGGATGGCGCTTAGGTTTTCAGCCGGAGCTGAGGGGAGGTAACATTTGCTGTGATGAGGAAGAGGAGGTCAGTTTTGGTTGGGATGGGTGGTCAGGAACTCTGCCCCTGCCCCTGTCCAGCTCACCCTCAGGTGGGTGGCAGGGGTGCTGGGGAGAGAAAAGAGAAGTCACTTGGAGCGACGGGGAGAAGCGGGAGATTATTCTTTTTCCGGAGGGAGGCTGGGGAATGTGGTGCATTTTGGTTGCTGGGTGGGGGGACACGGACCCTGTTTTCTCTCAAAAGACAAAAGTAGCTACGAGGAATAATGGCAGTAACCCTCTGTCCAAGTCCATGGCGTGCACGGCACTCCCCAGCACACGGCCGGCCCGCCCGCGGCCTGGGACAGGCCTTTGCGCCATTTGAGTGAGTGAGGTTCAGGAAGGGGATGTAGCTGTCTGTGGCCACCCAGTCAGGGAGCAGTAGAGGCCGGACTGGAACCCAGGTCTCCCGGTCTGCTCGTGCCCACTGCGGCAGGCTCCCAGGACTGCCAAGGACGGGAGCAGATCCCGGCCAGGGACTAGCTGGCACCAGCACCAGCTGGCCCAGATTAAAGGGAGAGATGGCTGTATCTCCCTCCCTTCTCCCTCCTTTCTTTTTTCCTCTCCATGTGTATTTTTTGAGCCACACTGTGTGTTAGTGCTGAGGGTACACTGAACACCACAGACCTTGCCTTCAGGGGCCTCACAGTCCACTTCAGTGGACAGGGATGGAAGGATCCATTCCCCGAGTAAGCCACTCATTACAATGGGAATAGCCATGGCCTGTTGGTGCATCTGTGTGCCAGGCATTGGGTGGGTGGGCCCCGAGCATGTCAGCTCCAGCTCCTTCCATCCGCACCCCAGCCCCTCAACGGCAGGTGCCCGTGAGCATCCTCATTGAGTAGGTGAGGTGGTGAAGAGCTCGGAAAGATGGTCCAGCTGTGACTTGAGACCATGGGTCCTGAGGATGGGGAGTGTGGAAGCAAAGTCCTGCCACCTCCGCTCCCCCCAGGGTTCCTACTGGTTGGCTGTTGCCACCCATCCCTGCCTGCACGTAGCAGAGGGCAGAAGGGAGAGGGCAGGACAGCAGGGAAACCACATCCCTTTGTGCCCTTCAGGAAGACCTGGGTGCCTGCAATAGCGGGGTCTCTTATATCTGGGCTTTCTGGGAATGTCCTAGGGATTGATGGGCAGTGAAAGGGTGTGGCCAGAGTGCCCTCTCAACTGCCCAGCTGTGTCCACAGGGTCAGACCTCTTGGGACCTTAAGCAAGTGGTTTATGCTTTTAGAGCCTCAAATGGTTGCAGGATTGTTTTGAGGATGAAATTTCACACATGGAAATCACTTAGTGTGGATTCTGGCACATGGTAGGTGCACAGTTATAGCAGAAATGTCGTCATGGTTGCTGAAACCTCAGCTCTCGCTGTGGCCCGGATTGAAGAGGGAGGAGACACCGCTCAGACATTGCACCTCCAGTGACTGCAGCTCCGCACAGCTGAGACACCCTATGTAGGTCAGCAAATCCTCTCTTCTCTTCTCTTCTCTTCCCCTGTTCCTTAGGAATGGGGTCCCTGTCTGTGTATCGGTGGAAAGAAGGTCAGGGAGGGCTTCCTGGAGGAAGGGGCATTTAACCAAGAATTTGAGGATTGAGTTGGAGTTCATTGAGCACAGCAGGATCAAAGGCCTGACCCGGCAGAAGGCGGAACAACTGCAAAGATCCGGAGGCGGGAAGGAGCTGGGTGTAGCAAACAGCCCCTGGGGGCTGGAGTGGAAGGAGAGAGGCGGAAGGTGACTTCCTGTGCTAGGGCCTACATCTTAGCTGAGCACCCTTCTCTGTGGGACTGGGCCTGCTCACCCTCTCCCCCTTCCCCCAGCTTCTGGTCTCCCTACATCCACACGGGTGGGGCCCTTTTTTATCTCCCTGGGAGGTCTCACAGCCAGGAAGTTCTCGGTGCCTAGCCAGGTACAACACTGTCAGATACTGTCAACCTTTTTCTTCAGAGCTAGGGTCCTGGGGTCGGGGGACGGCTTCAAGGTGGTGGGCTTCGACTAGCATGGGGGAGGGTTACTTGGGAAATAGTTCCCACAGCCCAGAGCACCCTATATCTCTCTGCTTAGGGTGACCATCCCCTGGCCTGGGTATGGTGCGGGGACTCTGAGTCCTTGACTGGGGCCACCCTTTCACCGCCCCAACTCCGGATCTTTTCCCTTGGTCCCTCCCTTCTGTACTCCCTGCCCGCTTCCAGCTCTGCCTCTATTGCTCCTTCTCCCTCCATATCCCAAGTCCGTCTGTCTCCGTGGTAGGTAGGTAGGTAGGTCGGCATGCGTCTGTCTCTCTCTGCGACCCATCATCGTCATCTTGGCTGCCCCTGCATTCCGCGCTCCTCGCCCGTCCCTGTCCGGGGCCGGTCCCCCTGGGTGGGTAGGGGTGTGGACGGCAACCAGTCGCACCGCCACAGCCCGCAGGGGGAGGGCCGGGACGCCCCTTCCTTCACCTGGAGGCGGCCGAGCAGACCCCGAGGGCTCGGGGCCTGGGACCCGAGGGTCCTGCCAAGGGGGCCCGGTTAGAGGGCAGCTGGGGCCGGCGGGGCTTTAGGGGGCGGAACCTCTGGGCGCTCCCTTCCCCCACGTTCTTAAAGGGCCGGCCGCGCGTCCGGGCCGGTGGGCTCGCGCGGTCCGGCCCTCGGTGCGTGCGGAGGCGCGGCGGGCCGGCCGGCTGGGGCGCCGCTGTGGCCTCCCGCTCCGCCGCCGCCGCCCGCGCGCCCGCCGCCCGCAGTCCCCCCGCCCTTCCCCGCCCTTCCCGCTCCTCCCTCCCGCCTGCTCGCCCGCCGCCCGCCCTCCTGCCGTCAGTCCCCCGTCTCCGCTCGGCTTCTCCGCGGCGGCTCAGACACCTGAAGGGACAGAGGCGGGCGCGGGAGCCCCGACAGGCAGCAGCGGAGGAGCGCGGCGGTCAGCCCGACGCATGGCCCCCCCGTGAGGGGCCGGACCCACGGACTGGGACCCGGAGCGGTGAGTGGGGCCGCGGGGCCGCCTCGTCCCCAGGGCCCGGGAGCTCCCGGACCCCGCCCCTCCCCGAAGCCGGGCCGGGGGCCGGGAGCGGGTGCTGGGGGGCGGGCAAGCCGGGCGGCGGGGCGCCGCCCTCCGCCCTCCGTGCCAGCCAGGGTCTGCTAACAAAGCTGTGTTTCCAGATCAATTCCGTGGCGGCTGGAGCATCTGAAGGATATGGTTGTCATGGAGATGGGGCCGAAAGAGGAAGCTCGGGGATGGCCGGGTCTGGGCCGGGGAGTGGGGCCACTGCTAGAGAGCCCCGGGCCAGCCTGCAGGGAGGGCGGGGGCGGACTGGCCCAGTTGTCCCCTGGGCTCCCCCTCCGGACCCCCCTTTTGTATCATCTGAGCGCACATGTGTGCGTTGATGGGGTGTCAGTGGGCGCTGGTGGCCGGGGACCTGGAGTGTGGAGTGCTGGGCCTGCCAGCCGCCACCTTTACTGTGGAGAAGCTTCACGGATTTATTTCTGTTTCCAGTTCCCCAACTTTGACAGCCTGGCTTGGCGCGGGCCTCACCAGCTCGGAGCTCTGCCGCTAGATCAGGGGCTCGCGTGGGGGCGTGGCAGGCAGTGGGCATGGCCGTGGAGCACATAATGGCTGTGGCAGCCGCAGGGAGGGAGGGGTCCTTGGAACCCGCTGCTGGGGCTGGGGTGTGGCAGGGCGTCCAGATGTGGGGACCACCCTGTGCAGCTGGCCCCCACTAGGAGGAAGTATTCGGACCCTTGCTGTCCCTGGAGGATCTGGGAGCTGCCTGAGTCAGAACCCCGGGGTATTGTCTCTGCACAGGCCGGGCAGGGGGGGGGCACCACCTCAGTCCACGCCTTCATCTTGGGGCCAACTTGGGGGGCGCCTGGAAGAACCAGGGGCTGAAGCCCCAGACAAAATGGAAGTGGGTCTGAGATTTTTGGCAGGTTCAAGATAGGCCAGGCTGAGCTTGAGAGGTGGGTGAATGGGGAGCAGGCAGAGGGCTCAGGGTTTGGCCGGGGCGGTGGGCAGCCTGGGCCGGGGGAGAGGCCTGTGAGCTTTCCTGGGGTCCCCAGCTCTTTCTTCCAGACATTGGAAACAAAAGCTGCTTAATGGGAGGGGTACTCAGGCAGCTTGAGGGAGAGTGGATAAAGGGCATTTGGACCTCTTCCAAGGCCAAATCGTGGCCCTGGGCAGATGCAGTCATTCCTCCACCCCTTCCCCCGGGAGGTTAGGAGCCCTACCGCCTAGAGGAGCTACATGTTCTGTGACCTGTGATCACTGAATGGGAAAAGGGGCCGGCTGCCCTCTCCCCGCCACCCTGCATCTCTGGAGGACGGGCCTCCCTTCTAAGAGCTCCCCTTTCCCCTGTATACAGTGAGAGGCAGGGGCTTTTGAATGGAGCTATTGCAAAGTTTGGTCCTGGTAGAAACATGGCAGGTCCCCAGGTTGTAGCCTGAACCAGAGGGCTCCCCCAAACTGGGGTGAGTAGGTGGGTGCTGGCCCAGCTAAAGGTAGAAGAATGACTAGAATATTCTTGGAAGGCCTCCCTGCTGGCGCCTCTTGCAGGGGCTGAAGCCTCAGGCCTTGGGTGACTTGTACCTTGTAGTCCCAGGAGACGGAGTGGTTTTCCTCCTGCCACTTGTCCTGCTGTGGCAGTGACAGGCCATGTGTTCCCCAAGCTGACCTGACCCGCAGTGTTTCCTGGAGGGAGGGCACAGAGCCAGCTGGAAAGGAGGACTTCCTGCTCTTGACGGGCCTGAGAGAGAGGGCTGGGGGCCAGCACCTCAGCCAGCTTTCCCATCCATTGAGTATAACCACGGTGCTAAGTGCTTTCATACACACAGCGCTTGTGAAGGAGGTGTGTCCGTTTTTTCCATTTTGTGAAAGAGAGCACTGAGGGTCAGGGAGAAGTCGCTTGTTCCAAGTCACCTGGGTAGTCGGTGGCAGAATCAGGATTTGCACCTGAGCAGAACAGTCTGAGCTTGGACCTATGTGCCCAGTCTCATTTTATTCTTCGCAGATGCAAGTATGGAGGGAGGTGGGACTGAGCGAGCGCCTTTCTGCCCGGAGCATGGCGTGACCTTGGGGGAAACTGAGGCACTGAGCTAGGTTTAGAGAGGTGGGATGGAGACGTTCTCGTTCTGGATGTCGGCATGCAGGAGAAAGACACTACTTCTCTCGACAGACGATCCTCTAGACATCCTTTGCCAGATGGTCTTTTCCAGGGAAATCTGTTTTGAGTGGCATCTTATGTCTGAGACTCCATATTTAGCCTGGCTTCTCACACGGGAGGATACACTCAGGCTGTCGCCCCTTGAGGGGTGTGGGGGGAGGGCTTGGCTTGGGCGGACCTGATTCCTTGTCACAGCTCAGGCGGAGGTGGGGCAGGGCCCGTGTTCCTCCCAGTCCTGCCCTGGCCGAGGGCTGCCCTGCTGGTCTCCCCGGGGACCTGGCTGTTCCCTGCAGAGCCCTTGTCCTCCCGAGGGTGTTTGCTCACAGCTGAGTGCGCTTCCTTGAGGCCTGGACCCTCATTAGGTGGTGAGCCACCCCAGGGCCGTGTCTGCCTGGCCCCTGGTGACTCCAGTGCCCAGCCCAGCCTGGACAAGGGCTGCAGCCCAGCTTGTGGGCTGCCCCCGCCACCACTGCTGCCCCGGCGCGTCAGGCCCTGAGCTCCACTCTTTGGAGTGTCCCCCTTCATCCCCTTCCTTCCCCTCTTTTATCACGTCAAACCTGATAGTACAATGAACACCCACCTATGTACCCTTTACCAAGAGAACCAGGTTTGCCAACTGTGGACATTTTGCCCACATTTTTTCTTTCTCTTTGAACCTTTTGACAGTAAGCTGCAGATATCATAACAGTTCACCTATAATACTTCAGTGTGAATTTCCTGAGACAAGGACATTTTTCTACATGACTGTACTATTAACATACCCAAGAAATTAATGACACAATTTAACCTAATATGTAATCCATATTCAAATTTTTCTAGTTGTCCCCATAATGTCCTTTATAGCTGTTTAAATTTTTTTTTTTGATCAAGCATCACATATTACATTCAGTTATGTCTTTTCAGTCTCCTTTAATCTGGAATAATTCTCCTGTTTTTTAAAAAAGTCTTTATGACACTGTCAGTCTTAGAGAGTCCTGCCTAGTCCCCTTGTAGAAGGTTCCACATTCCCGATTTGTGGTACTGCTTCCTCATGAGTAGATTCAGGTTAAACAGTTTTTTTGTAAGAATATCCCATAGGTGATGTGTGCTTCTCAGTGCGTCCCATCAGGGGCACAGGTCACTAGCTTGTCCTGTAATCGGTGGTGGCAAGTTACGTCACCTGGCTCAGGAGGCCCTTTGTTCAGCCCCATTCCCGCCTCCTCACTGCCTCCAGGAGCTCCGTCCACCTGGCCATCCACGCACCTGGGCGGCCAAACCAACGGAACCTCCACTTTGGAACATACGTTGGAGAAGGGCGATTAAGACACTGATGGGGCCTTCACAACCTCGCGGGTGGGGATGGGGTGAGCCACAGCTCAGGGGAGGTGCTGTCATAGCGGGGGAGGGGCCCCCGGGAAAGTCCTGAGAGGTACAAAGAAGGGAGATAGGAGGCAGGGTCATGACAGGAAGAAAGGGGATGGGACCCGGACCACAGATGCCCACCTGGAGCCACGGAAGGGTTTTAAAGGGGGGAGTGACGGGGCCGTTGTGGGTGCTGAAGAAGTTGCTTTGAGGAGGATGGGGTGGGACTGGCCAGCACACTTGCATTCGGGCTGCTGTGGGAGGTGTACAGAGGGAGCGCAGTCAGCGGTGTGGGGGCCCTGCTGTGACTGGGGCGTGGCAGGCGGTGTGGAGTGGGGGGTGCTGTAGGGGGCAGGCTGGATGAGCGGGCTCTGGGGTCCGACTGGAGGTGGGGAGGGCTGCTTCGTGATGGCTTGGGAAGGCGGTGGAGAATGTGGTTTGAGGTATGCGAGGGCTGAGGTTCTTTCCAGGTCAGAGGAACAGTGTGTGGGGAGCTCATTTCCCCAGGTCTTGGTGGTTACCTGTGGTCACCCGCTTAAAGCTCATTTCGGGATGAGGGCAGAGGGAAGGACACGCCTAACCCACAGCAGGGAATGAATGGACGGGGGCGGGGGGGGGGAGGGGGCCGGGGGGGTGCTCACGGGCACCAGCAGGGAAGGGACTTTGAGAAGGGGTCAGGGGCTGGCTCAGAGGCAGCTGCCACCATCCGTCCCTCGAAGGCCCCCCAACTCCCTTCCCTTATTTTGTTTCTTCAGAATTGCAAGGTAAAACCCGAACCCTGGTCAGATCCATCGCCCAGCCTGCTCCACATCTGACCTACGCAGCTGGATGGGGCTGGGAAAAACCTCTACCCCATCTGGTCTTACTTTAAGATCAAAACCGTGAACTTCAGGTGGGTTTTCAGTGCTGTCCTGCAGTCCCACCCTGGGTCCCGAGCCCTGTGCCTCCCTCTACCTGATGACTACTTCACACTTTCTCTTCCACCCTCGGCCCAAGTGCCCCTTCCCCAGTCCCCTTCACCGCTGCTGACACTGTTTCCTACCTCTCTGAGAAAACAGAGGCAGCCCTGGCTGGTGTGATTGAGCGGTGGGCTGTGAAGCAAAGAGTCACCAGTTTGATTCCCCGTCAGGGCACCTGCCTGGGTTGCAGGCCAGGTCCCCAGTAGGGGGCGCATGAGAGGCAACCATGCATTGATGTTTCTCTCCCTCTCTTTCTCTGTCCCTTCCCCTCTCTCTAAAAATAAATAAATAAAATCTTTTTTTTTTTTTAAAGGAAGAACTTCTGTTCCCCATTTACAGTGAAACTCCCCAGGACACTTGTCTAGACTGTGTCTTCATGTCCCCGCCCCCCACTCTCTTGACTTCCCTCCAGTTGAGCTTTGCCTCCCGTCCCTTCACTGACTGCTCTTCTCAAGGTCACCAATGACCAGTTCTCAGCCCTCATCGGTGGCATTTGACACATCGAATCTCTCCCTCTTCCTCGAAAGATTCCTTGAGCTCCAGGATATCCATTCTTCCGTTTTCCTTCCCCCTCATGAGTTGCTCCTCTCCTTCCCCTTCTCCCCTGCCCCCACCTCTTAATTTCGGAGGGCCCAGGACTCCGCCCCGGCCTGGCCGCTCTTCCTCGTCTGCCTTCACTCCTGTGCCTGTGTCCTCCGGTCCCTGGCTTTAAGCACCACCTTCATGCTTCCAGCTCCCAAATTTATACCCCGAATTTTGACCTCTCTTCTGAGCTCCAGTAGCCTACCCAGCATCTCAACAGCCTTGTCTACTAGACATCTCAAACGTAGCTGGTCCAAAGCTGGGCCCCCAGTCTCCCTCGCCAACCTGCTCCACCTCGTCTTCCCTGTCTCAGGAGTGGCAGCTCAGTCCTTTGAGGTGCTCAGCGCCCAAATGTTGGTGTCGGTCTGACCCTCTCTCCTACCCCTGGACCGCCCATCAAAGGGTGGGGATTTTACCAGCAACCAAATCTCCCATCACGGGGCTATGGCTGAATAGGAGGGACAGGGAGGTGGTAGTGGAATGGCCCAGTGCTCACCTTTCACACCTGTGCTCTCTGTACCGTGAGATCCTGGTCCTCAACTGGCCCCAAGGGGACTACAACCTTTGTCAGACCCCATGCCGAAGTCCTAAAATGGAGAGGAGAGGATGGGAGGGAGAGGAAGGGAGGAGGGGTGGGGGAGGAGGTCACAAGGGAGGGATGAGGCAGGGAGGGTTTTCCCGGGGTGGAGTGGACAGAAGATGTGGGGATGTAGAGAATACAGTGTCAGTGAAAGTTGGGCAAAGAGAAGGGAGGGTAAAATTTCTAGGTTTACCTCTCCTGGCTGTTGACCCCGGTGGGGAGGCAGGGAGGCCGCTCAGAGATTGAGCCTCTGTGTTCTGTGTCCTTCCCCGCACAGGCGTCTCAGCTGAGCAGGGTCGGCTGGGAGGACTTGCACGTGGTCCGTCCATTATAGAGCTCTTGGGGTTCAACTCTGAATCCACAGGCTCATGGGTCAAATGAGGCTCAGGAAGCAGAGTGAGCCCCAGGTGTGTCCTCTGGAGCTCCAGGAAGATGAAACTGCCACTTCTTCTGAACAGCCTAGTTTTTTGTGGTCCCAGATGATGGGAGGCTCACCCTCTAGGGAAGTCAGCGGGGGCAGGGTCACCAGTTATAAACATGATGTGGGATTTGACAGCAGACATTTTGAATTTCAGCAGTGCTGAGGGCTCTCCAAACCAGAATGCAGATGTATGCAAATGTTAAGCAAATGAGGGTGCCAAGTGGCGCCGGGAAGAGAAGCAAGCAGGGAGATGTCAAAGGATGACCTTTGAGGAGCTGGGCCTGGGGCCTTCTGTAAATCCCAGCAGGCTGCAGGGCACATGCAGATAAGATGCAAATGTGCAACCGGAGCCCAGCCACCTCTGCCTGCCCGATCTTGAGGAAGAGGAGGCCTTTAGATCCCCAGGACCCAAAGCAAGCTGGTTCTCCAGAGGCCAAAATGAGAGAAGGAAGGCGTGCTGGTGCTGGGTTCATTAAGGACCCCAGACTGGTACCACGTGAAGGGGACGGATGACTTTTAAGGATGCCCCAGGCACTTAGCTCTTGACCCCGCACATGGTGTGGCTCTTGTGTCTTGAGACAGAACTCTAGGAGGGTGCCTGGCCAGGAGTGGGGCTATTGGCGGGGCCAGGACTGTAGGGTCTCCACCTACCTCAGGAAAAGGTGGGGTGCTCTCTGGAGCTACCCCAGGAGCATCTGCTGCCTCTGCCCGCAGGCTGGGCCTCTGAGGTCCCTGCTCTGGCAGGCTGCCAAGAACGCATGTCCGCTGGGGCCCAGTGGGCGCTGCCCGTGCTGCTCTCCTGGGCATTTCACACCTGGCGTGGGCAGCCAGCCAGTTCCCCTGCAGACCTGAGATGGGGTTCTGGGGGGCAGCAGCTACTGCCCTTCCCCGAGCACCTGGGGCCAGCTCTGAGCTGAGCACTGCACCTGTGGGGCGCCTCTGTCCTCATTGCAGCCCTGCGTGGCAGATGCTGTTCGCACTCCCATTTTGCAGGGGAGGATGCTGAGGCTCAGAGAGGTGGGCCACTGTCCCCGAGGTGACACAGCTGGTGGGCAGCAGAGCTGGGATTGGAAGCCAGTCCTCCAGACTGCACAGCCGGGGCACTGACCACTGCCCTGACAGTCCCAGTCTAACACACTTGTTGCTGTGCAAGGCGGTCCAAGCTGGGGAGGCCAAGTGAGTTAGGAAGGGTTGGGGTCACCTCGGGAAACGGAGGCAAGGCAGCTCCTGGGTGGACGCCCCCTCTGTGTTATCCTGGCACCTCCCTGCCCTGGGCTGTAGAGTGAGGGGTGCAGGCCCAGGTCGGTCTTTGTGTAGGGAGGGTGCTGAGAGCTCTGGGTGACAGGCAGGTCCTGCCTTCCAGACCCCTTGGCTGGCAGAGGCGGGTGTGGGGAGCAGGGGGAGCTGTGTGACCCAGCGAACCCCCTGAGTCCCTGCTGCCCACGCTGCCAGTGGCCCAGCCAGTGCCTGGGAGTCCCAGCGGGCCCATGGATGTGGAGGCACACCTGGCTAAGGTGTGCTCTGAGCACCTATTGTGCGCCAGCCCTCTTTATTGATCATCTTATTTAAGTGCCCATGTCTGTACTTGTGTGTTCGTGTGTGAGTGAAGAGCCCCAGCCCATGTGCTAAAACTTGGGTGCGAGAGGGAGTCAGTACCGTAGGAACTGAGGGGAGGGGTAGTGGGACTAATGGGGTATTCAAGGGGGTTCCCAGTGGGCAGAGGATAGGTCTGAGAGTGAAAGGTTTTTAGCTCCCCCCCGAAGTAGCCCTCATGGAACTTTCTCTGAGTGTTCAGTACCACAGGCAGAGGGTCCTTGGGGACTTTCCAGGTTGGGGTTTGTGCCCAGAGCCTAAGGATGGGCGCTGGAGGTCCATGCGCCTCTCAAAAAATACTCAAAATGTTGTACACACATGGGAGAGTCTGTCTGGGGTGGGACCCACAGCTGCATCAGATGCTCACAGAGGTCTTGGAAATGTTAGGGGTCTCTGATGTGCATGGGGTATACATGAGGGCTTTCTCCCGCCCAAGCTTCCCCCACACCCTGGGGGCAGAACCAGAGAGTCTTGGCTCTCCTGCCGCTCCCGGGACAGCGGTGGTCTCCGCTGCGCCTCTGCACTGATGCTCCACACTGGTTTCCTCTGCTCACAGCCTCCTTGACATGCCCTGCCTGGGCTCTGAGGCCCCATGACCCTCCCACAGCCTCTTAGATTTTGCCTGTCCTGGGTCCTTTGTCCTAACTCTGCCTCCTGGGCCCCCATTGCCACCAAGTGGCCCTGCATGGCCCCATCTCCTCCCAAACTTACCCAGCCGCCCGATGCCACGGGGTCCGGCTGTGGTCAGTGTGGATGTCCGTCTTCCCCACTCCCCACCCCAGCCTGAGGCACTGGGTTGTCCCTTCCCTGCCCCTGGCTCCTCCCAGAGCAAAGTGGTTCCATACCAGTTGTCTAGCGGTGTAGGTCTGGCTGCCCTGAACCCTGCCCCTAGGCTGGTGGGCTCCTCATCTCCGCCTCACCACGCAGGAACACTGCCTCCTGAGGGGCTGCCCTCCATGTGTGTGTGTGTGGTGTACGTGTGTGCGTGTGTGTGCCCACACACGCCTGTGCTGGATGTTTGCTCACAGACATGCACGCGGGCACCTGCACCCTCTGTCTCACACAGCGGGCTGGGCCCTGGGGCCCTCTCTTGTCTGGCCCCCCTTCCAGCCCTTCCCTGGGGCTCCTCACAGCCCCTGGCTTGGATCCCAGCCTGGAAGGCACCATACGAGGTTACCCCTGTGATAGTCCAGCGTTGTTCCAAGCAGAACGCCTGCCTTGCCACCTTCCAGTTCTGTGACCCTGAGCACGTTCCTCAGCCTCTCTCTGCAGAGGATGATTATCACCTCCAGTTGTTGAGAACCACCCGCTGTTCGCCAGGCACTGTGCTGGGCTCCGGGGGAGACCACAGCAAATGTGACATAGTTCCCACCCTTGCTGAACTCACATCCTGGTGAGGCGGGAAGTAAGGAAGCACGTAGAAAAGGAGGTTCTAGTTCAGCTGAGTGATGCTGAGCAGATATGCTGCTCCGTGGAGGAGGGTGAGAGAGTGCCGGGTGGTCGCAGACAGCTTCTCTGAGGAGACAGTGTTGGAGCGGAGCCCTGAGAGACAGGAGGCAGTCATTTAAAGATGTAGGGGAGAGCATTCTAGGCCAAGGGTACAGCTGGTGCAAAGGCCCTGCAGTGGGAATGAGCTCAGGGAGCAGAAAGAAGGCCACGTGGCTGGCGGGATGGGGGTGGGGAGAGGGTAGTGAACCAGTTCAGGCAGGGCCTTTTCAGGCATGCTGAGGAGACCGGGTCCTAACTGAAGGGCAGTGGGAGCGGTTGGAGGGTTATGAGCGAGGGAGTGATATGATAGTTTGTTTCCACGACTCCCTCCAGCTGCCCCAGGGAGAGCGGGGAGGGGCGCGGGGTTGCCTCAGGAGCAGCTGAGGCAATTTAGAACCCCTTAGAACCCCTTAGAAAGCTGGCTGCCTCGGCATTTAGCCCTGGCCCAGCCAGTGCTCCCCTATCATCATGACCCCATTTTGGTTGGTGCTGGAAAAGAGGCTGCTGCACCCAAGGCCACCCCAAAGGCTGTGGCTGGTGGGAGCCTCTGCTTGCAGCGGGGCTTGATTCAGGCTGAGGGAGGATGCAGGGGATCTAGCTACTGCCAGCCTGTCACGTGCAGGCAGCTCCTTGGGTCTGTGCCCTGTGGCCCCACTGTGCCCGCTTCCCCCGGCTCTTGCCAGCAGGGCTACAGGTAGGCAGGGTCGCCGCTTTGGGTGGACTCTTCCAGTGGAAGATTTGAGGCCTTGACCTTGTGGGAGTGTCTGATGGGGCCCTGGGAAACTGGGGGCTCATCCTGTACCTCCAGCCCACCCAGGTGCAGAGGGAGGCTACTCTGAGTTCTAAGAAGCAGCCACTCACTACGTGACCTCAGGCAAAGCCTTTTCTGGTTCTGTGCCTTAGTTTCTCCATTTGTCAAATGTGGTGGTAGAAAGAGTGGACCATAGCTGTCTTCCTTTCTCCTTGACCTCTGTAATGTGTTCTTTCTTGGATCGCAGCTCTCCCAGCATTTATGACCTTAAGTCCTCCCACCAGCCCTGGGAAAGGAGGTAACGCCCCCATTATGGAGATGGGTCCACCAAGGCCAGAAGGGACAGTGAGTCCCAAGGCACAGGGTAGTTCAGAGTGAAAACTTGGGGCATTTTTTCACACCTCTGCCCTGAAGCCCCCCTTTAAGTGCCCATCACTTGGGCTCATTAAGAGAAGGGGTTCTTGGCTCAGCTATTTCTAGGCCTAGATGGCCCTCAGCCCAGGCAGGGATTCTGCCCCCCCCCCCCAAGAGTGGAGCTCAATGCCGCTCCTTGTCCGCTCACCCCCAGAAGCCAAGGACACGGCCCAGTCCTGGGTGTTGGCGCAACCTCCATCCCCGTCCCAGCTGCGGGAGGACATGGCAGGGCAGGTAAGGCTGCAGCCAGCCTGAGGTAGCTGCTGACAGTTGCGGGGTGATGTGGGGGCCTCCCAAGAGGTCCTTTATTTGTCCATAACCCTGGCTTTGAGGCCGGTGCAGACTGAGCATCAGGTGGAGCTGCTTACACTCTCAAATATCAGGCCTTGCTGGGAGCTCTGGGAGAGCCCTGGCCAGAGAGGAGGCGCCCCTCCCTGCAGGGCTCGGCCTCCACGTGAGGCTTCCTGATGGAATGGGGTGAAGCCCTGTGCCCCAGATCCAGTGCTCACCCAGGCCCCTGGGCTGTAAAGGTGGCCGGAGGAGCGGAGCTCAGGCAGCAGGCCAGAAGGCCCCACTCCCTGCCCCTGCCCCCCCCCCCCTTGCTTTCTCAGTGCTGCTCCGCCCCCAAGGAGGCTGGCTGAGGAGATGACCCGTTCTCTCCCCTCCCCTGAGCACCCCGCCCGCCTGCCTGTGGGAACACAGTGGAACAGCAACTGGGGCAGCAGGGATTTAGGGCAGGCCAGAAAGGGCCCATCGCTCAGGGCCAAGCCCCTTGGGGTTCCCGTGTCCTAGGATCGGGGCCCAGATATTCTAGAGCTTGGCTCGGCAGACTGTTTTTTAAAAAAAATTCTATGAAAGTTTTTTTTTTTTTAAGTAAAATCCATGCTCACACAGCCTTCAAAAACCCTAGGAGGTGGCATCAGGGTGAGCGGGCTGGGGCCCCAGACCCCAGTCCTGCCCTCTCCTCTTTCACTTCGTGTTTGACAACGACGAAGGTTAAATGACTGTGAAGTGTCCTGTGGTGTCGGAGCGCCCGCAGCGCCTGGAGGTGATTCCCTTTCTTCTCCAGGCTCCTGTTCTCTGAGTGGGAAGTTTCTCCTACTCTGTCCGTTCCCCGTAATTCTGGTTCCGGAGGTCTGGGGGGAGGGCTTCATACCATGTAACTGAAGTCCCTCAGGTGACACTCCTGACCAGGCAGGGGAAGACAGTACGGGTTTCACTAAGCCTTGCGTCGGCACCTGCAGCTCAGTCTGTTGCAGCCTGGGAGCCTGCCAGTCCCTCTCCTCCTGCAGCCTCTCCTGAGTCCCTGGAACGCTTTCTCCAGAGGAGTGTGGAGGTACTGGGGGGGTGGGGGCTAAGGCCTGAAAAGGGGAGGCAGGAAGTTGTTTGCAGGGGCTGCTCTGTGTCCCTGGTGGCACAGGTATTGGAGGTACAGTAGGGGGTGGCGGTGGGCATCGCCTAGCGTGGGTGCGGCCGGGACCCCGTGGGATGAGGGGAGAACAGACCATCACATCTGCCCTCCCACCTGGGATTAGGTTGGGCAGGAAGCCTCCGGGAAATATGGGCTGGTTCCACTTTATTTTAAAGGGGACATGGCAGGTAAAATGGATCTCCTGATTTTACAGAAGAGAAACAGGCCTGGAGCAGGGCAGAGGGGAGTGGGCCTGGCCTGGGTTGGGTGGGAGGAGTCCTGACCTGGATCCACAAAGGGTCGCACAGTGAGCTGGGCAGAGCAGGGCTTTCCCCTTGCACGCTCTCCCCAGAGCACTCCATGGCGGACTCCTCCTGAGTCCTTCCTCAGGGCTCCGTGAGCTCTGCAGAGCCCCCGTGTGGAAGGGACCCCCAGGCCCCTCGTCCTCTCTCCTAGTGCTGGGGCTTCGGGCGCTGGGCAGCAGAGGCAGCTGCGCTCTCAGCGAGGCTCCGTGGTGGCGCTGCACCCGCCCAGCACCCTGGACAGCACCTCACGCTGGTTCTCGTGAGGGCTCACTTTGGCTTCTCTTGGGTGGCCTCCATTCTGATAAAGCTGCGTTCAGTTGACTTCCTTGCCTCCTCTTTTCACCGCTGCTCTAAAGGCAGCCCCAAGCCCAACTCCCTCCGTGTTCCCTGGAGCCAGGGCGAGGCAACGTGCAAAGAGGCGAGGAGCCTGGCTGCTGCTGGCCTGGGCTCTGTCTCCGTCACTCCCCAGGGGGAGAGGGAGGGGGCTTGGAGGAGCTCTGGACCCTTCCCTAGTCCCTTCCAACCGGGGTCTTCCTCAGAGGGCTTTGGTGCATCCTGGAGAGCACAGCAGAGACACAGGAGGGACCGGGGAAGGCGGGACTGGGGCCCATGGAGTGGTAGAGGGTGGGGAAGAGGAGAGTGGGGCTGGTTTGAGCAGGGCACTGGGGACACCATGGCATGAACCCATACCCCGCCAGGAGGGCCCACAAAGGTCATCTCAGTCATCCTTCTGTCCCCAGGCAGGCTGCCTGGTGCTGGGTCCACTGGGCGTTAGACCCCCAAGCACCTGCCTTGTCTGACTCACCCCTTCCTCTTGCCATCTGCTGCCAGGTCTAGTGGAGTCCCAGGAGCGGCCGGCACGGGGTAGAAGCAGCGTCTGGCATGGAGGAGGATAAGCTCCCATCTGGGCTGCCTGAGGAAGATGGAGCCACCTGGGACCCCAGCCTGGAGCCTGGGGAGGAGTCCGGGGTCCAGAATGGAGCGGTGGCCAGTGTGGACCTGAACGGCAGCCTCAGCAGCCCAGGGCATGAGCTAAGGGGCACCCTGGCGGACACCGAGGAGCCCATAAAGAGCCCGGACATGGCCCTCCATCGCCTCAGCCTTGGCCTCTCTCTCACCAATGGCCTAGCCCTGGGGCCAGACTCGGACATTCTTGAAGATTCCACAGAGCCCAGGCCCTGGAGGGCTGGCGGGCTGGCTGAAGGAGATGACGCCCCCGGGGGCCTTTGTCCGGACACGGAGGACCCTCAGCTAGAGTAAGTCGGTGTCTCAGGGCAGGAGCTCACCACTTTCGATTGCTCCATGCTGTGTGGCCAAGGTCTAGCCACTTAAGTCTCTTTGGTTCTTGTTTTTCTCGTCCATAAAATGGGAATTTCATGTCCCCCTTTTGCCGAGTTCCTGGGCGTTCTGGGAAAACAGAGCCTTGAGACTTCAGAGGCAGACAGGCCTGTTGTGCCCCCACCCCCTGCCCCCCCAACCATCACGGGCCATTTCTATGTGCGGCAGGGGGGCCATACTCCCTCCGCCCCAGGCTGGACGTTAGAGTTACAAAATGCCTCGAAGCAGAAGGTCATCTGGTCCATCCCTGCACTTCCTGCAGATGAGGCTCTCCCGACGCTGCAGCGGACCTCAACAGAGCAGGCTTCGTAGGTTCCTCCCAGTTAGCTACCTGGCCTCAGTGCCATCCGCGAGTCCTACCAGGAATCTTACTTCAGCCCTGCTTGTTGGAGTTACGGCCCCTCTTCTGTTATCCTCAGCAGGAAGTGGGGAGACCTGGTATCGTGGAGATGCTAGTTGGACGTGGAGGGTGGGGATGGGCCAGGGGAATGTCTAGAAGACCCCACGGTGGGCTACAAAAAGACAGTATAGAAGTCTCAGTGTGCAAGTGTGTGGGTGGTGTGTGAGTGTGTGCGTGGAGAGCATGCGTGTGCCTGGCTGTGCGTTGGTGCGTGTGCAGGGCTGTGTAAGCATACTGGTGCATACGAGTCTGCGTGGTTGTGGGTGGAGGGTGTTTGTGTGTGCTTGGCCTGTGTGTGCCTTGGACTCCATGGGGAGGAATGTGGTATGTGGGGTCGGTTGCCCATGTGTGCTGGCTAGGCTGTGGCCATAATAGCATTTCTATCCAGGCAGGACCGGGGCATCGGCCGGCTGGCAGTGGTGTGCCTCGGGGGCTGGGCTTCTGGGCGCACACTGTTTGCATGTGGGCCTCGCGTGTATGTAGGTTGACTGACGGCGGGAGCACGTGGAAGTTCCGAGGTTGGGCTGATGGTCTTCAAGCCCCTGCCAGAACCACCCTCCAGTTCTGTTCAGGTGCATGAGAGGGTGGCAGATGGTGGGTGGGGGAGCCATTCATGGCTCTGACAGTAAATAAGGTGAGCGGCCGCCAAGGGCCGGCTCTGTGTCATTGCTCAGGTGTCTTCAGGACCCAGCCCAGGCAAAGGGGCCTCTGCTGGCAGGTTTAGGTGTCTGCTCTCCGACCCTTCTCTTCCCCTCCTACTGGAGGTCAGTAAGAGGCCACTCCCCCACCCCCCCAGGCCCCTGCGGGGCATCCTTCCACCTTTCAGATTTCTGTGCGCTTCCCCACTTCCTTCTCTGGCCCCTCGGGGGCCTAGTGAGCCTGCAGTGTCGGCTCCTGCTGGGACCGGGATGAAAGACAGCTCTCAGGTCAGTGTTTTTCTGCAGGGAATACACTGGGACCAAACCTTAAGACACTGGGGGTCCAAGGAGGTGTTTGAGGGGAAGGAGCACTTCCCAGTCCTCCAAGTGCCGCTCAGTTTCTGCTGGGCAGCAGGGGCTGAGCCGGAATCTGGAATCTCACGGGGAGAGAGGGCTGCGCTTCCTTGCAAACGATGGGCTGTGATTTATCAGGAACGGGCTGGGCTCAGCCTGCTTCTTTCTTTTTGTTTCTTCTTGCCGCCTCTGTGTTTCTTTCTGTCTTTGTCTGCAGCTCTGCTACTCTCCGTCTCCCCTGCGCCGTCTCCCTGCCCTCTGCGTCGTTTCTCTTTTCTCTCCCTCTCTCCTTGTCTCTGTTTTTGTCTCTTTCTTGTTTCTTTTCTCTGGGTCTCACTCTCCTTCAGTCTCTCTCCTCTCCCTTCCCCGACCTCCCTGCTCACCTGAGCATCTCTCCAGGATGCCTCCATTCACCTGTGTGTGACGCTTTGTTCTAGGTGCTGGAGATACAATAGTGAGCAGAACATACAAAATTTTCTACTCTCATGGAGCTTATGGTCTAGTGAGGAGACAGATAATAAATCACAAAATTATAAATTATTGCATTAAAGTATGTTAGAAGGGGGTACGTGCTTTGGAAATACGAAGTAGGGAATGGGGCTGGGTGCCTGGGGGCAGGTCCCAGGCATCAGTGGGTGGTCAGGGCAGGCCTCACGGAGGAGAAATGAGGAAGGAGGCTTTGGCCTGAGGGCAGAGCTCTCCGGCAAGGGGAGCAGCCGGGGCAGCGCAGCACTCAGCGAGGATGTGGGCCGTGTGGTGGGCTGCGTGGGGCTACCAGCAGCTGCTCATTCACTCGATGCCCCATGCAGCAAGGTTTGCCAAGTACCTACTGTGTGCTGGGTGCATCTGGCCTTGTGTGGGGGTCGTTGGGTGGGGCTGGGGCACAGATGGTAAACAGGGAACAGCCAGAAGCCTTCATCCTGACAGGGGCTGGGAGGATGAGAAGAGCTACTCTGAGGATGGAGAGGTAGGAGAGGGGCCAGTGTGGTGGGCGGTGTGGACCCGCCCCCTCAGTCTCTCTGAGGAGGTGGCATTAAGGCAAAGCCTGAGAGCTGCGATGTGGTCGGCCAACCTAAGACCCTTCCAGGGTATAAGGACAACAAAATTATGACGCTTTGTGACTCTAGTTGTGATGGGGGAGCAGCCCCGTGGGCCAGGCTAGAGGACGAGGACTCACATTCATCCACTGACGCCTGCTGTGGGCCAGGCAGGGTTTGGGCTCTGCAGGGGGGAATGCCGGTCCTTATCACTGCTGCGCCCCAGTAACCAGTCAGCATCTGGTAGTGCTGGCTGAAAAAAGGAACAGGCCACAAGCCACGCCCACTCCCCACCCCCAGGGAGTCCCAGCACCTGCGAACCGGGCAACCTGGCAGAATGCTGACTGGTCCTTGCGTCCTGCAGGCTGGATGGTCCCGGGGAGCCAGATGTCCGGGACGGCTTCAGCGCCACGTTTGAGAAGATCGTGGAGTCGGAGCTGCTGCGGGGCACCCAGTACAGCAGCCTCGACTCCCTAGATGTGTTGAGCCTCACGGACGAGAGTGACAGCTGCGTCAGCTTCGAGGCCCCCCTCACACCCCTCATCCAGCAGCGGGCCCGTGACAGCCCTGAGCCAGGGGCTTCCCTGGGCACTGGCAGCGTGGGGCCCGAGGGGGACGTGGGAGCAGCTGGCGGTGATGGGGAGCTGGGCAGCCCCTTGCGGCGATCCATCTCCAGCAGCCGCTCGGAGAATGTCCTGAGCCGCCTGTCTCTCACTGCCGTGCCCAATGGCTTCCATGAAGATGGACCCCAGGGCCCAGGCGGGGATGAGGAGGAGGAAGAGGAGGAGGACACGGACAAGTTGCTGAACTCGGCCAGGTGAGGCCGGGCCCAGGCTGGGAGCTGGGAGGACCATTGAGCAGATGGGGAAACAGACCCAGAGGGGGCAAAGCAAGCGAGGGCTACCTAGTGGCCACACAGCCCTCTCCAAGGTCATCGTGTCTTCTCTGTGCACCCAGACTCCCCACCGCAGTCCCGAGGGCCCGTTCTGCCCTTCTAGGTCTGTCTAGCCCTCTGGGGCCGGCAAGTTCTGCAGTGGCTTTGGGGGGCAGCTAATGATCTCACTTGAGGGACTCCATCCCATCCTGGTGCAGTGGAGTGTACTTCCCTGCTCTGGCCCGTGTGGATTTCAGGGCCCTGGGGAGACCTTCCAGCACCTCCCCAGGGCCTCTGCCCCAGGGCCACTGAGCCCCGCCTCTCCGCCCCACCCTCCCTCTGCAGTGACCCCAGCCTAAAGGATGGCCTGTCTGATTCGGACTCGGAGCTGAGCAGCTCAGAGGGGCTGGAGCCCAGCAACACAGACGCACTGGCCAATGGGTGCCAGGGGGTCAGCGAGGCTGCCCGCCGGCTGGCTCGCCGCCTCTACCACCTCGAGGGCTTCCAGCGCTGTGACGTCGCCCGGCAGCTGGGCAAGAAGTGAGTTTTCTCTCCCACACCACCCCAGGCAAACCTGGTGTCTTCCCCAGCTGGAAGGGGGTGTAGGTGACTTCTTTTAGTGGCTATTAGCAGTGCAGTGTTTATTAGAAGGTGACTAGTAGAATAGTCACCTTCTATTCGGGGTGCCTGGTGGCTAGAGGGCCCCCAGCAGTCCCTGAGAGCTCCTCTTCCTGCCACTGTCCTCATTCCTCGCCCTGCCCCACATCTGTTTCCTTTCTGGGCTGCCTGGGTGAGGCCTGCATGCTCAGGGAGGGGGGCGGTGGCAGCTCGGCCCCTCGGGGCTGGGGGACTGGCACGTGGCTTGTGGTTGTGGGGCCACGAAGGATGGTAGTGAGGACAGAAGCAGGCCTAGCTCACAAGCCTAATGGGGACAGGTCAGACCCGAGACCCCCAAGTGTGAGCTACCTGGGGGCTTAGGCCAGGGGGTTGGTGCTGCTCCTCGGTCCCTCACTGCTCCCTTTGTCCAGCTTCCTATACCTTCCACGGCCGCCACGTGGCTCCTGCCCTTGTCCTCCTGGCCTCAGCTCAGAAATCATCACAACTAGCTCCCCTTCCTGAGAGTCCATGACCCCCGACCTAATGACACACTTCAGAAGCTTTCGTTGTGGTTGCTCCCCACCCTCCCTTGTCTCTTCAGCCCCTCCCTCGGAGAGTCTCCCCATGGCACGTAACTGTGCTGAAGCCTTTCCTCAGTGGGTCTTCTTCCTCCGGCTTCTTCACAGCCAAACATCTCAGGATTCTGTGCCCTGGATGGCCTCTGCCCCCTCCCCTTCTCCACACTCAGCCCAGGGCTGGCTTTTCTTCCCGCCTGATCCCTTCAGAAGCCCCTCCCACTGTGTTACTAGCTGCCTGGGCCCCAATCTGGTGGCTGTCACCCGACCCCACCTTCCATGGTGCTGACACACTGGCTGCTCCTTTCTTTCTCTCTAATTATGCTTTTAACTATGGAACTTGCAAACATGTGGAAAAGCAGAGAAAATGTATTGAACATTTATGTACCTATTCCTCAGATTCAAAGTTATCGACCATTTTTTATTCTTGTTTCCTCTACCCCATGAGACAGTGCCCTGCCGTTTGCTGGAATATCTTAAAGCTTATGCCCTGGCCAGTGTGGCCGGGGTGGGCAGGTCTGGGTGGGTGGGTCAGGATACCAGGTACCACCGCCCACGTGCCCCCGTTGTTTGCTGTGCCCCGCTTCTCACGGACACCCTATGCTCTCCTGGCAGCAACGAGTTCAGCAGGCTGGTGGCCGGGGAGTACCTCAGCTTCTTCGACTTCTCGGGCCTGACTCTGGACCGAGCGCTCAGGTCAGTGGGGCTGGGGCAGGGCAGTGCCCACAGGTGGGACGGGCTGTACGTCTGGATTCTCATGCCAGCTCCGTCATAAAGTTGCTGTGCAACCTTGGGCCAGTGTCTTGACTGCTCTGAGGGAGGCTGGGGAAGGGCCATCCGAGTGGCAGCCTTCCAGCGACTCCGGGAGTGCCCGCTACGTGGCGGGTGCTGAGGCCTGTGAACGCAGCGTTGCCTCGTGACTCTTTAGGAGAGGAAAGAAGGCGCCACGCCCCACCCCCCAGCCCCTGCTTTGGACTTTCCCAGAGCTGTTGATGGAGATTTGATCTCAGGTCTCACTGGTGCTTGGGCCCAGGGAGGAGCCTCAGGAGGGCCCACGGTGGGAGGACGCAGCCCAGTGTCCAGTGGGCACGGTGGGGTGGCCGAGGCAGCAGGGCGACACCAGGCCGGAGCCCGCAGGGGAGGGGCAGCGTCTCTGAGCTAAGGGCTGGGTGGCCCTGCGTGTTAGACCTTCGCATTGTATCTCACGTGTCTCCTACACTTTTGAAATAAATGTATTTTCCATCCTTTTTTCTTTGCTCAGTTGGGCTATTTTCTGTTGTCCTGCTCAGAGTCCACTTACCCTGTTTCTGTCTCCGCCAGGGCGTTAAACCCACTTACTGGATTTTTACTTTCTGCCATTATATTTTTCAGTTCTAGAATTTTCATTTTATTAAAAAACATTTCTTATAGATGCCAATTCTTTGGGGAACCCCCCCTTTTCACTTGGTTTTTCCATCTCTCCTCTCTTTTCTTGACATATCAGTCATGGTTATTTCAAAGTCCTTGTCTGCCCATCCCAATGTCTGTATCATCTGTATCTGTTTTTTTTTTTAGATTTTTATTTATTTATTTTTAGAGAGAGGGGAAGGGAGGGAGAAAGAGAGGGAGAGAAACATCAATGTGTGGGTGCCTCTTGTGGGCCCCCTACTAGGGACCTGGCCTGCAACTCAGACATGTGCCCTAACTGGGAATTGAACTGGTGACCCTTTGCTTCTCAGTCCGGCGCTCAGTCCACTGAGCCACACCAACCAGGGCTTGTATCTGTTTCTATTGTCTATTTTTTCCTTTTGACTCCATCAACAAGGGTCTCTTTGTATGCTCAGTAGCATTTTGATCAGATGCTGTGCATTTTATATGAATTACAGCGGCTCCAGAACACCATGTATCTTTTTTTTTAAAGATTTTATTTTATTTATTTATCTTCAGAGAGGGAAGGGAGGGAGATAGAGATAGAGATAGATAGATAGATAGATAGAGAGAGAGAGAGAGAGAGAAACACCAATGTGCGGTTGCTGGGGGTTCTGGCCTGCAACCCAGGAATGTACCCTGGCTGGGAATCGAACCTGGGACACTTTGGTTCCCAGCCCACGTTCAATCCACTGAGCTATGCCAGCCAGGGCTAACACCATGTATCTTTAGGGAGCGTCTGCCCTGCCATTCGCTGGGCAGTTAAGGGAGGCAGGGGAGGCGGTCCTCGTCCACCCAGGGCTGAGCCGAGAATTGGTTTAGAGTTCAGCCCACCCCAGGGGGAAGGTCCCATCAGGCTTTCCACAGGGACCCTGTGTGTTCACGGGGGCCTCTCCTTTGGATGGGTCACGAATCCAATTTTATCTCCTCAATATGGCAAGACTGTCAAAAACCCAAATCCCTCTGCTTCTCAGAGGCTTTTTGCTCGGCCCTTTGCACCCTGCCCCGCACATTTCAGAAGCTGGAAAATCCCTCAGAGGAAAACTGGTTGTGTGTTTGCAGCCCCTTGCGTCTCTGCGTTTGTTCCTTCAGCCCCTTGCCCCTTGCCCCTTGCCCCTTGCGTTTGTTCCTTCAGCTCTGTGAAGCCACCAAATGCTCTGCCTGCTGCCTGCGCCCATGATCACCAGCCCACCTCTCCTCCCCAGAACCTGGGTCCTTTGCTCTTTGTCATGTTAGCGGCTTTCTCAGAGCTCCAGAGAGATGTGTTCCGTTGGGTCTCCCCATCAGTCTCAGTGGACATGCTGGTCTCCGAGAGCTGTGCCAGCCTGAGCTGAGGCTGAAGTTTGCGTGGGAATGGGGAGGACTTGCGGGGGGGAAAGGTGCTGGGTGCATCAGCACGTGACCGGAGGCTGGGCACTGGGCTGCAGGACCTTGTGTGTCAGCCCAATAGATGGAGGCACTGGGGAGCCACAGCAGGTGCCAAGTGTAAATCAGGATTTGGGAGGCAGTGCCCATAGCTGCATGCAGGCGGCTTTTGATCCAGAGGAGCCAGGCTTCTGAAGAGGGTCAGATGGGAGAAGACAAGGCCTGGGTTTGGTGGCAGGTGTCTTAGCTTAGGCCTTAGTGAAGACTCCCAGGGAAGGGATGTTGAGCTGGGAGCAGGGGCTGGGAGGAGTTTTAGAAAGTCCTGGTGTGGCAAGAGGGGGCAGGTGGAGCTGGGGGCCAGTGGAGGGAAGAGAACAGGGAGAGGAGGAGAACCAGGTGGCAGAGGGAGAGTTTTTGTGCAGCAGCTGACAGACTGGGGTGGAAGTGTGCTGGGCAGTTTCAGATGCCTTGGGGAGCCTCAGAGAGTAAGGGCTGGCCCAGACGGGGCTCACGGGTCCCGGTTTCCCTGAGGAGCAGCACCAGTGAGGATGAAGCAAAGTGGGCACTGCAGAGACCAGGTAAACTGTTGCTAAGTTAGTAACAAATCGGCCTCATGAACCAGGACAGACAGAGACCTAAAGTGCCTTGGCTTGCAGCTTCCCCCAGGTGAGGGACCCAGGGCCCTCTTCCAGGCCCACTGATTTGGGGGTCAGCTGCCAGGGCCCCTGAGAGCTGGTGACCTTTGAATTGTGCCTTGGGAGGGACTCAGAGGCCAAGCGGGGGAGGAAGGCCTTCCAGGCAGGGCCCAGCCGGCTCAGAGGCAGCGGGCAGTGCAGGCGCCTGTCCTGTCCAGGGTGTGGATCCTGTGTGGAGAGGCAGTGGGTGGGTGCCAGGCTGAAGGGACAGGAGGGAGGTGGGGTTGCAGGGAAGGCCCGGATGTGAGGAGCATGGACGTTGTTCTGAGGGCTCTGGGGAGCCAGCAGCAGATTTTAAGCAGGGGTGAGTTGGATGTGTGTTTAGAAAGATCGCCCCGTGTCCACAGGGAGGATATGCTGGGGCCATGCTGGGCGCACTTACCTGGAGGAAGAGGAGGAGGAGGAAGGTCTGAGACTAGGAGTGAAGAACCTCTTGGGGACAACTCAGATCCGGGTTGGGGGAGCAGTGAGGCAGGCAGGGCGGGGCCTGGGCTGGGGGGGCAGCACACGGAGTGGGGGGTGGGTCTGGCTGGGGCAGAGCAGTCCGAGGGGCAGGCGTGGTCAGCCTGGGCCCAGGCTTCGAGGAGGCAGCGAGGAGCGGGCACTTGCCCCAAGGAAAGCTGACGCCTGCCGTGCGGAGTTCTGCCTCTGCCTGCTGCCAAAGGGCCCTGGAGCGTGAGGAGGGCGGAAACTCCAGAAGCTGTCCTGGGCGCTGGGGCGCCTCCCTGGGCTCGGGTGCTGGGGCGCTAGAGCGCTGGCCCACACGGGCAGGTGTGTTTGTGTGTGTCTGTGTGTGCACACGTGTGTGTGCATGGGTATAGAGGAGGACCCAGACTGACTCGGGGGCTCTGGGAGACCCTCAGCATCCCTGAATTGCCCCCCAGAACCTTCCTGAAGGCCTTCCCGCTGATGGGGGAGACGCAGGAGCGAGAGCGGGTCCTCACTCACTTCTCCCGGCGGTACTGCCAGTGCAACCCCGATGACAGCACTTCGGAAGGTATGGCCCCACTCTGCTGCACCCCCGCCCCGCCCCGCCCCCCCCCCCCACCCAGGCCCTGGCTTCTTCCTTCCCCGCCCACCCTCCACCCTGTCCTGCCCAGTAAACACTGAGCGAATGAACCACGGTGCACGGGATGGGCACTGCCTGCTGGGCAAGAGACCTGCAGATGCCGTGCCCGTCGTCATTCCCAGGCCTGAGAACTCTCCAGCCTAGAGGTTCAGCCCTGAATCTCAGGTCTTCATTCTCGCTGGTCCCTGTGGCAGTGCCGAGTCTCGGTGTGGTGGGAGTCCTGCTGTGGGGGTCTGGGTGGGAGCCCTCTTAGGGGAGGGCCCTGCTGTAAGGATGGACCTGAGTCCCAGGAACACGGGGACTAGGCCAATTACTGGAAGTGACATAGGCCACAGCAGGGTCATGGCCCGGGAACCAGAGCCATCCCTGGGAATTAGGCCACAGGAGGCAGAGTTTGGGCCGGAGCAGGCCCAGGGGGTCAGGTCTCCTTTGAGGGAGGGGTTGTCCCTGACCTTGGGCAGGCAAGCGACTGCGGTGCTGCAGCAGGGGTGGGGCAGGGAGCGTCACGCAGGCCCTGGGTCCAGAGACGCATTTGGCAGGCGGCTGGCCGCTTCCAGTCTCCAGGACCTTCAGGCTGGCTCTGTCAGGAGACCAGAAGGTGGTGGGCGGGGGTGGGAGCGAGCGGGTCCTCACACTGAGGGAGCCACCGTCTCTGATTCAGATGGCATCCACACGCTCACCTGTGCCCTGATGCTGCTCAACACGGACCTGCACGGACACGTGAGTTGGGGAGGCCGGGAGGGGGGGCGTCCTCTCGCTGACTCACCCGGGCTGGCCAGGGCTCAGCCTTCTCTCCAGCCCCTTCCTGAGACCTGCCTAGTACTCCCGTGTCCGTCAGCCGGGCAGTGTGGCCTCTAGACCCGGCCCCGACCTAGTTCATCCCCCGAAGGGGGCCTCGGGCCCGCTCAAGCAGCTCCTACCAGTCAAATGGCAGTGTTCCCCAAGGGACATTCTTGTCACCCTGCCCCCACCAGGCAAACAGTGAAGTGACGGATGGGCTCCGGGTGGGCTGTGAGGCTGTGTCTGGCCCGGGCCTCGGGCTGTCTCAGTGCTGCTCTGACTCAATAACTCCTTTTTCCTCCGTCTGCTCCGGGGACCCCTCTTTGGGCTCTCTTGCCCGCCCTCAGGTGGTAAGTGTGGCTGCTGGTGTGCATGTCCTGTGGGCATCGACTCTCATCTCCGTGTGTCCCCTCCGTGTCCCCACCACTGTGCTGGCCTCACCCATCACTGCCCTGTCATGGCTCACCCCGGGTGGTCAGAGTCCCCTGCTGGGTTGGGGATATTTGAGTGACTTATGGGGACAATGGGCCATCATGTCTGGTTCCAGAGTCAATCCAGAAAGCCCAGGGCACATAGGGTGGAAGGAAGGACTGGGACAGACCCGACTTCAGATCCTACTCTTGCCTCCATGCGGTAGCTCTGTGACCCTGGACGGGACGCAGGCCCTCTCTGGGTCTCAGGTTCTGCTTCTGTGAGGTGGCGGTGATGGTTCCCCCACATCGCCCCGGGGGGGCCAAGAGGTAATACCCGCAACACCAAGTGTCAGGGTCTGGCACCCAGTAAGGGTTTAGTTATGAATAATATTGTTCTGTGAGAATAACAATAGTATTCATGATCACTGTTAACATTTAAATGATGGAGAACCTGAAGGCCCAGCCTACAGATCCCTCCTGCAGGGTCAAGAACTTGAAGGCCACAGTCTGTCTTATGGGAGCCCAGTGTGCGCTGGGGTGCCTGGCCTGCAGACGCTGAGGGCCTCGGTGACCTTGGTAGGAAGAGAAGCTGTGTGACAACTTGGGTTAGTCCGCCTGCGCTCATGGCCTGAGTGTGGGCGGGAGGGAGGATGTGTGTATTTCATGGGAATGTCACCAGAGCTAATGGCTGTTAACCAGCTAATGTTCCCCCAAGACCGGCTTGCTCTGTTTTTCCATGGAGAGCAGCTGTGGCTTGCACACCTTAAAAGGGGCATTAAGCACACCCCACCTATCCTTGGCGGGGCCTGAGAGCAACCTCGGGACCCCGTCACTGCTGTGCCACGGCCTGGGTGCCCTCTCCATGGCCCAGGGCTGCTAAGGATGCAGCAGCCACTATTCAGTGGACTCCCGGGTCAGCAACACCCCTGATGGGCGTAGCTGCCTGACCCCACATTGATGCCCTCAGCTGAAGAGAAGCGTCAACGCATTCACAGATCAGAGCGGGTGGGGCGGAACTGTTCATATCCGTAGTCACCAGAGGCGAGGATCCGCCTTTCTCTCTGGAGGTGGCATTGCTCAACGGTCAGGAGCAAGGGTTGCAGGCTTCTCCACAGGACAGCTGTGTGGCCTGGGGCAAGCTACATAACTCTCGAAGCCTCAGTTTCCCCCACTGTAAAATCCCTGTGAGGCTTAAGGAGACCGTGCTAGTGAAGCCTTTAGCCCAGGGCCTGGTGGTTGCCGTTACTGCTAGCTCTGCACAGGACCCCATGGAAGCAGTGGCCCCTGCCCGGTGCTTTCCCGCTCTCTTCCCTGCCTCGAGGCTGCTCCTCAAACACCCCAGGCCTTGCGTGGGTCTGTGGCCAGGCTGGTCACGACTCTTTTCTGCTGGGAGACAGAGGCTGTGGGAGGGTCTGAGGGTCAAGGGCAGGTTAGGAGGCCCTGTGGATCCAAATGGGGTAGGGGACAGAGGGATGGGCACTTGGAGGTCCCACGTCATCCCCCTCCCTTTGGCTTTGGAATGACCCAGGTACTGGTTTCTGTTTTTCCTTTTCTTTTCTGGGTACATGTCTTTTTGCCTGTTGTTATTATTAGTTTCTAAATCAGATAACTTACCTGGTCTGATTCACTTCTTGGTAATTTGTTGTCTTGCTTTTCTGTCCAGAGAGAGAGCAGTTTTAGCAGGTATTTCACGTGGACTAGAAAGAAAGTGTGTTCTGCAGTCGTTGGTGGGAATGTCCTATGCACGTCAATGCGGTCGAGACTTGTAATTGTGTTGCAAGCATCTTATATCTCCTTAGTGATTGTTTTTATTGTGGTAAAATGTACATAACACAAAACTTACCATTTTGACCATTTTAAAGTATACAATTCAGTAGAATTAAGCACGTTCACATGATGTGCAACCGTACTATTCTCTGGTTCCAGACCTTTTCGTCACCCCGAGAGGAAGCCCTGCACCTGTTAGCACTTGCTCCCCGTTCTCTCCTCCCTCCAGCCCCGGGAAACCACTTATTCGCTTTCTGTCCCCAGGGCTTTGCCCAGTCTGGGTATCTTGTGTGAACGGAACCACACGACATGCAGCCCTTCATGTCTGATTTCTTGTAGTCAGCAGAATGTTTCCAAGGTTACATGAAAAAGTTCTGGAGATTATTTGCACAACAATGTAAATAGCCTTATCACTACTGAACTATACACTTAACAATGGTTAAAATGGTAAGTTCTGTACATTTTGTTGTAGCATGTGTTGGCAGCTCATTCCTTTCTACGGCCGAATAATATTCCACTGCAAAGACGTACCGTATCTTGTTTACCCAGTCGTCTGTTGCTGGGTATGTGGGCTGTCTCTACCTTTAGGCTATTGTGAATAGTGTTATGAACATTTAAGAACAATTTTTTTGTTTGTATACCTGTTTTCAATTCCTAGGAGTACATGAGTTTTGTCAAAGGGTAATTTCGTGTTTAACTTTTGGAAGAATGGAGACACTGTTTTCCATAGTGGCTAAAGCGTTTTAAATGCCCACCAGTAACATATGAGAGTTTCAATTTCTGCAAATTCTCACCAACACTGATTCTCTCCCCACCCCACACAAAAAATTATTGCTGTCCTAGTGGATAAGTTTTGGTTTTGATTCTCATTTCCCTAATGACTAATGATGTTGAGCATTTTTAAAAAAGATTTTACTTATTTACTTTTAGAGAGAGGGGAAGGGAGGGAGAAAGAGGGAGAGAAACATCAATGTGTGGTTGCCTCTCACATGGCCCCCGCTGGGGGACTTGGCCTGAAACCCAGGCATGTGCCCTGACTGAGAATCGAACCAGCAACCCTTTGGTTCTCAGCCCGCGCTCAATCCACTGAGCTACACTGGCCAGGGCGTTGAGCATTTTTTTTTTATGTGCTCTCTGTCAATTTGTATAGTTTCTTTGGAGTAATGTCTATTCAAGGCCTTTGCCTATCTTTTTGATTTGTAAAATTTTATTTTAAAAGTTGTGGTAAAAATACCCATAACATAAAAATTTATCATTTTAACCATTTTTAAATGTATAGTTCAATAATGTTAAGGCCATATTTATGTTGTTATACAAACAATCTCCGGAACTTTTTCATATTTCCTGAACTGAAACTCTATACTTGTATTACCTTTAACTTTTTGAGAAACAGCCATACTGTTTTCCAGCACCTGATCTATATCCCATTCCCACCAGCAATGAGCAAGGGTCACGATTTCTCCATATCCCTGCCAAGTTGTTATTTTTCTGTATTTTGATAGCAGTTATCCTAAGTGGTGTGAAGTGCTATCTCGTTGTGGTTTTGATCTGCATTTCCCCAATGACTAGTGATGTTGAACATCTTTTCATGTGTTTGTTGACCATTTATGTATCTTTTTTGGACAAATGTCTGTTCAAGCCTTGTGTCCAGTTTTAATTGGGTTGTTAGTGTTTTGTTGTTTAGTTGTGAGAGTTCTTTATCTATTTTGGATTTGAGAGTTTTCCCCCATTCTGTGGGTTGTCTTTTTACTCTCTTGATAGTATCTTTGAACTTTTTTAAAAAATATTTTACTTATTTATTTTTAGAGGGAGGGGAAGGGAGAGAGAAAGAGAGGGAGAGAAGCATTAATGTGTGAAAAGGTTGCCTCTCACACGCCCCCAACAGGGGACCTGCCTTGCCACCCAGGGAATCCTACTGGAGACCTTTCAGTTTGCAGGCTGGTACCCAATCCACTGAGCCACACCAGCCAGGGCTGACTGTGCCTTTTGATAAACAAAAGTTTTAGATCTTTATGAAGTTCCATTTATCAGTTTTTTTCCTGTTTCTTGATTTTGGTGTCATGTTTAAGAAACCATTGCTAAATCCAAGGCCATGAAGATGTACTCCTAGTCTTCTAAGAGTTTTATAGCTTTAGCTATTACGTTTAGATCTCTGATCCATTTTGAGTTAGTTTTTGTACATCGTGTGAAGGAGTGTCCTCCTTCATTCTTCTGCTTGTGGACATCAGTTGTCCCATCACCACTTGTTGAAGAGGCTATTCTTTCCCCATGGGATGGTCTTGGCACAGTTGTCAAAAGTCAACACAAAAGTGGGTTTATTTGTAGACTCTTAATTCTGCTCCATTGACCTATATGTCTATTGTTATGCCATTGCCCCTCTGTGTTGATCACTCTGGCTTTGTAGCGAGTTTTAAAATCAGAAAGTGTGAGTCTTCTAACTTTGTTCTTTTCCAAGATTATTTTGGGATCCCTTGCAATTCCGTATGAATTTGATGATAAGCTTTTTTATTTCCATAAATATAAAAAGGCCACTGGAATCTTGATAGAAATTGCATTAAATCTATAGGTCAGTTTGGGGAGTTTTACCATTTTAGTTATATGAAGTCTTCCAATCCATGATCACAAATTGTGTTTCTGTTTATTCAGATCTTCAGTTTCTTTCAGCAGGCCTTTGTAGTTTTCAGTGTGTGAGTCTTCCCCTTCCATGGTTAAATTCATTCCTAAGTATTTTATTCTTCTTGATGCTATTGTAAAGGGAATTGTTTTCTTTCACTCGATGATAGTTCATTACTAACATATAGAAATGCAATTAATTTTTAAAAAAGATTTATTTATGTATTTTTAAAGATAGGTGAAGAGAAGGAGAAAGAGAGGGAGAGAAACATCAATGTGTGGTTGCCTCTCATGCACCCCCTACTGGGGACCAGGCCCACATCCCGGGCATGTGCCCTGACTGGGAATCAAACCAGCTACTCTTTGGTTTGCAGGCCCGCGCTCAGTCCATTGAGCTACACCAGCCAGGGCAGAAATACCATGAATTTTTGCGTTGATCTTATATCCCGCAACTTTGCTGAATTTGTTTATTGGCTCTAAAGTTTTTCTTTAGATTCTTTAGAATTTTCTAGTATAAGATCATGTCATCTGTGAATGGAGATTTATTTACTCATTTATTTTTTCCTAATTGCTCTGGCTAGAATATCCAGTACAGTGTTGAATAGAAATGGAAAAGTGAGGGTCCTGCCTTGCCCCCAATCTTAAGGGAGAAGCTTTCAGTCTTGCACCATGTGTACCAGGTTAGCTGTGGGGTTTTCATATGTGCCTTTTATCGTGTTGAGGAAGTTCTTTTCTCTTCCTAGTTTGTTCAGTGTTGTTATCATGAAAGGGTGTTGGATTTTGTCAAATGCTTCTTCTGCCTCAGTTGAGATGATTGTGCATTCTGCCCCACCCCATTCTACTAATGCAGTGTATTACGTTCATAGGTTTTGTGCATTGAACCACACTTGCATTCCTGGGCTTTATTTCACTTGGTCACAATCCTTTTAATATGCTGCTGGATTCTGTTTGCTAGTATTTTGTTGAGGACCTTTGCATTTATAGTTGTAAGAGATATTGTTTTGTAGTTTTCTTTTTCTGTGACGTCTTCGTCAAGTTTTAGTGTCAGGGTAGTGCTGGCGTTATGGAAGAGTCAGGAAGTGTTCTCTTTAGTTTTTTTGAAGAGTTGGAGAAGTATTGGTGTTCATTTTTCTTAAATGTTCGGTGAAATTCACCAGTGAAGCCATCTGGTCCTGAGCTTTTCTTTGTTGTGAAGTTTTGATCATTGATTCGATCTCTTTACTTGTTATAGGCCTGTTCAGATGTCCTGTTTCTTCTAGAGCCAGTTTTGGTAGTTTGTGTGTTTGTAGGAATTTGTCCATTTTATCTAGGTCCTCCAACTTATTGGCCCTAAGGAATTGTTAACTAATTAATTGTTTAGTATTCTTGTTCTTTCTGTTACCGAGAAAGCAGTGTTAAAATCTCCAACCAAGATTGTGAACGTCTCTTTCTCCTTTTGGGTCTATCAATTTTTTTTGACTCTGTAATTAGTGGCACATGAATTTGGGATGCTTCTATCTTCTGGTGGAGTGACCCTTTACCATTATTCATTGTCTCTGTCTCTAGTAGTATTTCCTGTCTTCAAATCTATTTTGTCAGATATTAGCATATTTATACTGAAGTTTTTGTTAGTGCTTGCATTTACATATTTTCCTGTCCTTTGCTTGCAAGATTTGTGTTTCATTATATTTGTTTATTTAATTTTTATTTCTTTATTTTTAGAGGGGGAAGGGAGGGAGAAAGAGAGGGAGAGAAACATCCATATGTGCTTGACCCTTGAGCACCCCCTACTGGGGATCCAGCCCATAACCCAGGTATGTGCCCTGACTGGGAATTGAACCTGCAACCTTTGGTTCACAGGCCGGCACTCAATCTACTGAGCCACACCAGCCAGGGCATGTGTTCCATTATATTTAAGATGTATCTCTTGTATCATACACTTAAAAAAAATCAGGTCTGATAATCTTTGCCTTTTAATTTGACCATGTAATGAATTACCAATGTATCTGAGTTTAAATGTACCAGGTTACTATATGTTTTCTCTCTCTTTTTTTAATCCTCACCTGAGGATGTTTTTATTGATATTTGTGAAAGAAGGGACAGAGAGAGAAGCATCGATTGGCTGCCTTCTATACGTGCCTGGACGGGGACCACGGATGGAACCCACGACCTAAATATGTGCCCTGATTGGAAATCGAACCCCCAGCCCTTTGATGTCTGGGATGGCGCTCCAGCCAACTTAGCCACACCAGCAATGGCAAAATACCCTTAAAGCCCTTTACCTCCTTTTATTGTCCTTTCAACTTTTACACTACTGTCATCATGCATTTAACTGTTATATATTTCTATATATTTTATTCCTTAGAAAACATTATTATTATCACTTTCCACAATCGATATTTATTCATTTAGATCTGGCCACCCTTTTTGTTGTTCTTTATTTCTTTCTGCTTCTCCTTGCTTCCTTCTAAGATAATTTTTCTTTTGTCTAAAGAACTGCCTTTACTATTTTCTTTCTTAATTTCACTTTTTTGAAGTATGACTGGGATGTTTCCCAGGGCCCCTCGTCCTTGGTGAGTCCTGAACTCCAGTTTTTGTCTTCCAGTCCTGTGAGACCACGCTCAGCCTTTTAGCCACTGCCTGTGAATTGGCAGGCGCTTCAAGGAGGAAAGCTGCTCCTTGCTGTGCTCACCTCGCCATAGTTCCCTCCTTTGCAGGATCTTTACCCTTGAAGTCCTCACTGCTTTTATATTCCCCCCAATGCCTTCACCCAGATGTTTTATTAATATTTTGACCAGCAATTGTTTCTCCTGGGAGGGTTCGTCTGCAACAAGTTAGTCGTTGTTACTAGGACGGGAAGGTGCCTGGTTATTTCCTGATTCCACACTCCTGCCTGATGGCTGAGGAAGGTTCGCTGTCTGTGGAACTCAGACAATATTATCAATGTTGTCCTATACTTTTTAATCATGGACGCACACATAAGTGCCTATATATGCACATACATACACACATATACACACATGTACATGTAAAGCATACACATAAACATGCGAAACACACTATATCAAGGCGCACATAGGGTGTAGAAAATTCTTGTCAGCTACATGTAAAGCCTTGTATCATTGTTTTCTGTGGTGTATGAATGTCCCATGTGACGTTAATAGAGTCTGTGCTAAAATGGTGCCAACATCAATATATTTGGGGAATTGTCCATGAAATCCTCTCCTTGGAGACATTTAACACATTTAAGCATGTTAAAAACTCTGAGACATGTAAAAAACCTTATTTGATTATGAAATCCCTTTTGAGGGGAAGAGCTATTCCATTGGTAGGTACCTCTTGGGAGACACTGCCGTATAGCAAACCTAAATCCACAAAGTCCTATACCAACGAGTGTCTGGTGTCCAAGGGTCCTTGTCCTCACAAAATGAAGTGTCATCCAGTGTTTCCTCAAATGTGGACACAGCAAGGAGAGTCTAAAAGTATCAGATGTTTGGGGGCTGGAACCCCTTTGCTACTCAGTGGGTAAAAAGAAGGCAGAACTTGGGGTGCACTTATTCCCAGCTTTTCGTCTGCTTGTACCTCCCAGAGGAAAACCATTTCCTGAGGTTCCTGTGCTCCCAGCCGAGCTCAGCATGGGGTATAGACGGTGGGAATTGATTTTTGGTTTTCATAAGACCAAACTCTCCCTCACTTCACCTACCTCTTGGAGGTCTTGCCGCCCCTCTGTGCAGGTGAGAGGGTGAGACAGTTGTGACGGAATACAGAGCTTCTGCTCAGGAGCCAAGAGGCCTGGGTTCAAGTCCTGGTGCTGTGTGACCTTGGGAGAGTTAACCGTGGAGTAGCGGGTGAGAGCATGGGCTTCGGTGTCAGACACACTCAGCCCTCCCACTTCCTTGCTGTGTGATCACGGGCACATCACCTTCCTGCACCTCGGTTTCCTTACCTATCAAATGGGGATAGTAATAACAACCACCTCACCTCCTCCTTGTTGTGAGAAGGAAACAAGATAATGCATGTCAAGTTCAGTAGCTGGAACATAGCAGGCACCTGGCAAATGTCAACTATTATAATGCTTCATTCAATCTGACGTCTTCATCTGGGCTTGGGGAGAACCTCAACCTCTCATGATGCTTCAGGGTCGAATAGAATCTTGAATGTAAAAGAGAGTTTCGTAAACTCTTGGAGACAAAGGAAGTCCTGCCCTTGATGCCGCCTCATCCCTTCTGGCTGGGCAGGGCAGGAGTGGGACCACACCAGCCTCCACCCCTGCCCTCAGGCAGAACCATTTCTCCATTACAGAACATCGGCAAGAAGATGTCCTGCCAGCAGTTCATTGCCAACTTGGACCAGCTGAATGATGGCCAAGACTTTTCCAAAGACCTGCTGAAGGTATAACCTGCTAAGGGTCCCCATGCCCCCAGTTGTACCAGGGTGGATGGAGAGGAGAGAGATCTCTGCCCCACTAAATCCTGATATTTCAGATTCTTAATACTAGAGTCAGGGCCACTATGACTTTGGGACAGAGTTCGAGGCTACCCAACTCAGTGTTTGACTGTTAAGTGTTCCTCGAGCCAGGCAGAGCAGTGGGCTTTGTGAGATTTGTTTTGTGAGATTTGCTACATCATTGTTATTGCTGTCATGGTAACCACTGATACTGCCACCAATGGCCACAGCTGCCATGGCCATCACCATGACCTTTACCACCACCACCACCACCAACTTCACCATGGAGAAAAGCCCACTCATTCCTTCAATGTCACCAGGAATTAAGGGAACCTAGTTTTCTTTTGAGGCTGAAGCTCAGGGTAGAACTCTGGCCTTTCAAGCCTGCTCAGTTCTTGGCCTTTAAGGAAGAAAAGCAGGGTTTTTTTTTGGGGGGGGATAGAAGATGAGTTTAGTTTTAGATAGTGGGTTTGAAAGGCCTGGTGATACCATCTAGGCAGTTGGATAGTGAATCTGGAGGTTAAAAAATAGAAGATTGTCTCCATTACTCTCTTACCATAATACTTTTTCTCGCCATCAGGAAGCACTTGTTAAGAATGTATGTGTGAGATCAAATAATTCCAGTCCTGCCACCCACCTACCCACTTCCCCCCGTCTACTCATGTACCCACCTACCCAGCCTCCCATGCATCCGTCCTTTCATCCACTCACCCACCAACTCACTCATTCACCAGCCACCCGCAGAGACATCCCCCACACCCTTAAATACTGCCCCCCACACTCCACACCCAGTCATCCATCCACCATCCACCCATTTCCCCACCCACCCACCTACCCAGCAACCCATCTATCTACTCATACTCCAATCTGTCCACCCAGCCATCCACCCAATCATCCACCCCAACCCCATTCACTTGCTCATCCAACAAACAAGTATGAATCAAACATCCACTTTATCCCACTGGCTTAAAAGTGCTCCCTCACTGCATCCACATTGCTAAAGGTAGATGGAGATATCTTCAATTTTTTTCACCAGAAATCCTCTCTTTCTTTTTACCCCTCTCCCAGACCCTTTACAACTCCATCAAGAATGAAAAGCTGGAGTGGGCCATGTGAGTAGTGCCCATGGCACAGGTATGGGGAGAGTAAGTCACTGGGAGGGGGAGTGACTGGGGGTGCAGGGAAGTCACTCCTGCCACTCTCCATGGTGCTGATTTCTCCCAACTCAGGGCCACATTGACACCAGTCCCGCTAGCCAAGCACCTGATGTTGAGTTCCCTTTTGGGTTCCCGTTTTCTGTCTTGATAAAAAGCATGCAGTGTTTACACTACTATGGAATAGATTGAACTGTGACTTTAGTTCTGTGATAGCCACACTGGTTTTCTGTACTTGGGATACTGCCACTATTTTTAAATGATAACTCTTCCGCCTTTGGGAAGTAGGGAGTCAGGAGGCATGAGTTTCCTTGTGACCCCAAGAATATGACCATATTTAGGTGGCAACTGTTCTTGGCAGTGGGGAGGGGCACTGCCCCCTAGCTTCTTTCCCTGTGAAGGCAGTGGGTTCTGGAGGTGCCCAGCCATTTGGAAAGGGGTATGGTGACCCTGCTAGTTGGTGAGACTGAGAGGCTCTGGGGAGAGTGGCTGCCCTGCGCTGCTGTGCTCCCCAGGGCAGCCTGGGTCTTTGGATCTGTGTAGAGGCCCAAGGCAGGGATTGTTAGGAATCTCAACGCCATGGGAAAGAGCTGGCGTTCTCCTACCAAGGCTCAGTGGGGATCCTCATCTGCTGGCTGCCCTCCCTCTGGGACATGGGCAGCCACTTCCATCTGCCCATAAGTTCCTGATCTCTGGAGCTGGGTTTTTAGGGTTGAAGGCAGGAGAAGGAAGATCAGGAATGAGGTCTGGAGACAGTAAGGTCTTCAACTTTGTGATCAAGGGTGAGGATTAGAGCTTGGAGGTAAAAAATCAGAGGTCAGAGGTCAGAGGTCAGAACTGAAGACTTGAGGAGAGGAGACGAAGGTCTGGATCTGTGATCTGGAACTGGAACCTCCTCTTCTCTGCTCTTCGCCCTGACTGGCTCCCAGAGGAGAGGTTGGGGGGAAAGGGCATGTCGACGAGGGGCTGAGGCCTCCCTGGAGGTGGTTGCTCAGGCCCAGTGCTTTCCCAGTGATGAGGATGAACTGAGGAAATCCCTGTCAGAGCTGGTGGATGACAAGTTTGGGACCGGCACAAAGAAGGTGACGCGGATCCTGGATGGTGGCAACCCCTTCCTGGATGTCCCACAGGCTCTCAGCGCTACCACCTACAAGCACGGTGTGCTGACTCGGAAGACTCATGCCGACATGGATGGCAAGAGGAGTGGGTGTCAGGCACGGGGAGAGGCATGGGGAGGGCTGCTAGTTCAGTTGGGTTCCACCCCCTCTGCTGCTCCTCCGGGGCTGCACACACCCATAGACGTGTGGGGGAAGCAGGGGAGGAGGAGATATTGGGGTGGGTGGTTGTGGCCACACTACCTGTGCCTCGTCCTCAGCGCCCCGTGGGAGGCGTGGCTGGAAGAAATTCTATGCGGTGCTCAAAGGGACCATCCTGTACCTGCAGAAGGTGAGGGACTTACTCAGTGTCCTTACCCATGAAGGGCCAGTCATTCCTCCATCCAGCCTCTGACTTGTGGTGCCCAGAGGGTCCTGGGCAGGACTTGGGGTGTAGGCAGGTAGGTGCTGGGTCCTCCCCAGTCAGGGGACTGGCTTGAGCTCAGAGAGGAGTCCTGTAAGTGCCCAGGGACTCAGAGGATACCCAGAGTAAGGGCTGTTCAGGCTTCTGGGATAAACTGGGGTGCAGGGAGGAGTGCCAGGAGTGATTCTAGTTGGGGTTGGCATGGCATCACAGAGGCAGGCATTGAAAATGGAGGAAGCTACATGGACAGAGGGTGGGGAGGGGGCTGGGGAGGGTGGAGGAAATGTGTCTGTGAGCCAGAGCCTGGCCATGACAGAGGCTGGCCACCCCCCACCCCACCTGTTCAGGATGAGTACAGGCCTGACAAAGCTCTGTCTGAGGGTGACCTGAAGAATGCCATTCGCGTGCACCATGCTCTGGCCACCAGGGCCTCTGACTACAGCAAGAAGTCCAACGTGCTCAAACTGAAGACAGCCGACTGGAGGGTCTTCCTGTTCCAGGCACCGTAAGTAGGAGCGGGAGCCCCTCGCATCCCCCTGGACTCAGGCCTGCAGCCTGGAGCCTGCACTGCACCCCTCTTCTCATGTGCTTCTGCTTCAGGGCGGTTGCCTTCAGCTCCCCCTCCATGAGCACGTCCGCTCGGCACAAACCTACAGCAGGGTCCCCCGCAGTCGTGGTTTCCAAGTGTGGTCTCCTCAGCGTCTCCTGGAAACTCGTTAGAAATGTGGTTTCTCTGCCCACCCCCTACCCCAGACCTGCTGAATCAGAATCTCTGGGGCATGGGCCAGCGATTGGGCTTTAACAAGTCCCCCAGGTGATCCTGATGCACGCCGAACTCCCCCCATATGGGGTGATGGAGTCTAGGAACCATCCTTCACTTCCAGTCGGGGTGGGGGGAAGGGGTGGGAAAGACTCACCCTACAGTTTCTCTGTCCCGAACCCCATCTTTCTACGACTTCGCGTTTCACACGGAAGAGGCTAGTGGACGAGCTCTCAGGATGGGCGAGTGTGTGCCCGGCTAGGTTGTGAGGACAACCAGCTGCCTCTAATGACCCCCGGGGCCAGCTGGCTCTAGGATCTTTCAGCTCCACGGCCATTAGCTCTGGACATGGCAGCTTTATTTTCATCTGAAAATCCAGGTTTTCCTGGGAACTGGGACAGAGGGGAGCTCCTTCCACCATGTGACCAGGCCCATCTGGCCCTCACCCCCCTTCCGCCCTCACTCTTTTGCCTGCAAACACGGACGTATTTGTGCTCTCTGTGAGCCAGGCTAGTGCTGGGTCAGGAAGACGGAGTTCCATCTTGAGAAACTGGTGTCCTTTCCCCTCCCGTCCTGTTCCCAGGAGCAAAGAAGAAATGCTGTCCTGGATCCTGAGGATCAACCTGGTGGCTGCCATCTTCTCAGCGCCAGCCTTCCCAGCGGCTGTCAGCTCCATGAAGAAGTTCTGCCGGCCCCTGCTGCCCTCCTGCAGCACTCGCCTCTGCCAGGTACACGCGCCTGGGGCCTCAACGCCGCTGCCTCCCCAGGCTGCCTCCCCGTGCTGGGCCCCCTCATTCAACCGCCCTCCCCTCAGCTCCCGCACAGTGCCCCGGGCTCAGAGACTAGGCGAAGGGGCAGCTATTCTCTCCACCCCCGCTGCGCCCCACCCCCACTTACAGACGGGAAGACCGAGGCCACGCACAGGGCCGGCCGGCTGTGCCGTGGTGGGCGGCAGGGGTGCGCTTCCGGCCAGTGGCAGTGTGTCCGGTGGGGGCATTGCGGTCTGCGGGCAGCACGTGTGTTTGGGCACGGAGGCGAGAAAATCGGCGAGTCCTAGACAGCCAGGGGTAGGGAGGCTCGGCTGGCCCTTCGTCCAGTCATCCACCCTTAAACGTTTATTTGTAATTCTAAAAAAGCTCCAACACATCCATACTCCAATTTTTTAGTGTGTTTTTGTTTTTGTTTTTTGCGGGGGAGGGTAAGTGGAGGACCACTGCTAGAGAGCGCAGGGGGAGCTCCTTCCTGCCTTTGCCAGCGGCAGGCCCTTTTCCTACTGGGCCCTTGTCCTGGGTCTCTCCACGGAGCTCCTTGGGCTACTGCTTATGCCCAGAGTCCCTACACATGCCCACTCAGTGCACACACATCCATGCCACACACGTGTTCATGCACATGCACACACATGCACCCAGCCCACTGCCCACGTAGCACGAAGTGATGTGGCCATACTGGGGTGGGCGGGAGGGTGCAGGCCCTTGTCTGTGTGCCAGTGTCTCTGCCTGTCTTTCGTTGTCTTCCCAGGTCTGTGACCACCACATATGTCTGGCATGAGTGTAACGGAATGTGTGCATTGTATGGAGCCAGCAGTAGCCGAGACTGGGCTGCCCTTGGCCCGGAGTGTTTGTGTGCATGTGGGAGTGTGTACGAGCCGGGGGTGTGTCTGGGTGATTGTGTGTCTGTGTCGGGGAGTGTCCATGCACACACACAAGCTGCGGGTCTCTCTTCCCCCGAGCCCGCTGGGAGGTGTTTAGGAGAGCTGATGCCGCCGAGAGCAAGGAGGAAGGAGGAAGGTGGAGTGCTCCTTCGAGTCTGGAGTCTGGCCTTACCCCACGTATTGATGGCCCTGTCCAGGCCTCAGTTTCCCTGTGGTGACGCAGGTCCTGGCAGGACAGGATAAATGCATCCCTATGACATCTCAAGAGTGGACTTCACAGCCCAGGACCTGTCTTTGCAGGAGGAGCAGCTGCGTTCGCATGAGAATAAGCTGAGGCAGGTGACCGCAGAACTGGCTGAGCACAGGAGTCACCCGGTGGAGAGGGGCCACAAGTCCAAGGAGGCGGAGGAGAGCCGGCTGAAGGAGCACTATCTCACGTTTGAGGTGGGCCCTCTGGGGGACAGATTGTGAAGGACAGGGCTGGGGCCAGAGGAGGCCAGGTTCCCCTGTTTCACCTCCCACCACCACCGTCATTCCTGAGCCAGTAGCTCCTACTTTGGGGGTTCCCCACTTTGTGGCTCCCCTGAGGCAATCTTGGACCATGCATGGCCTCCTGTAGGCCAGTCTGCACAGTTCAGATGTCATTTGTCAATCACACAACTGTGCCCTCACTTGTGTCTCTCATAGAGCACCAGCTGGGCTCCACCAGACACCCCCTCCCCGCTCACCAGCCCTCCCAGCCTTCTCCAAGTCCCACTCGCCTCCACTGCCCCGAAGTTCCAGCTTCTCGGGAAGCTTTCCCAAGCAAGCTACGGGACTCGCAAGCCCTGTCCACGTGACTTTCCCTGCTCTGTCTCATTTTCCTCATTCCCATGTTTCTTAAGCAGAAAACTTCATCTCTCCTTCTAAGCTCTCCCTTCTTCTGTCTTGTCTCTCTCTGCCCACTACCTGGACTTTGCCTTACGACGCTTTACAGATGCGGCTGTCAGAGTGTCACCTTTGATGGGTGAAGGATGGGGGTTGGCTTGAGGGAGGAAGGCAGGAACCGCTTGTCCATTTCGGACTGGCCTTTGGACAGCCCTGCACATGGGAGTGGACAGACAGACAGGGAAGCCCCCCGGAGCAGGAAGTCAGCAGTCTCAGTCTCTAGACTCCCACACTGGTTTCTGTCGAGGTGTAGGGGAGAGGGGAGAGCTCCCAGGCTAGATCCTGGCCTTTTGAAAAACATGAAGCTTTGTAGTTTTTGGAAGTCTTCTCAGATCCACTCTGTCTGCAATCAAAATGGCGATGGCAAATGCTGCAGTGGACTGATCTCTGGTGAATTGCCAGGTGCAATTCTTACCACTTGTCTTGCATTGATGGATTTAATCCTCATATGAGCGCTGTAAAATGAGTTCCCATTTTACAGATGGGGAAACTGAGGCTTGGAGCAGTCAGATCACTTGCCTGAGGTGCACAGTTAAGAAGTTCAGGAGCCAGGATCCTCACCCATGCAATAGATGGGCAGATTGCAGCTGCACTGCCCTGGCCTTTCTCACGGCTGGCTGGCTTGACGGGGTGGGGGGTGGGGGTGGGGAGGTGAAGCCTAGCAATGAAGGGTCTTTCTTTCCATGTGCCTGAGCTGAGCAAGAATAGTTTCCTGTCTCTTCCTCCCTATTTCTTCCAGGACCCCAGGCTCCCTCGACTGCGGGGAGGGCCTGAAGCTCAGGGTCAAGGCCCTCAGACCCTGTCCAACCTCCTCCTACATGTTTCCTAAGTCACAAGCCGTTTAACAGCCTGTGAATTTACCTCTCTCTTCATGCCTGCACAACGCCGACATTATTGGATGTTTTAATCTTCTCCAATCTGATAGGTTTAACAAGTCTTGTCTTATTGCTATTTTAATTTGGATTAAACAATTTTAATTGTGATAAAATACACATAGCATAAAATTTACCATTTTAATCATTTTAAAGTGTGTGGTCCAGTAATGTTGTCTGTTCACACCATGGTGCAACCAACCTCCAGAACTTTTTCATCTTCCTAGACTGAAACTCTGCCCCTGTTAAGCCACTCTCCAATCCGCCCCTGCCCCCACCCCCACCCAGCCCCTGGCAACCACGATTCTACTTTCTATCTCTATGAGCTTGATGACTTCAAATAAGTACCTCTGATAAGTGGAATCACACAGAATTGGGGGTTTTGTGACATTACTTAGTATAATGTCCTCAAGGTTTATTCATGTTGTAGCACATGTGAGAATTTCCTTCCTTTTTAAGGCCAAGTAATATTCCATTGTGTCTACATACCACATTGTGTTTACCCATTCATCTGCTGGACCTTTGGGTTGCTACCAGCTTTTGGCTATTAGTAATAATGCTGCTATGAACATGGGTATGCAAATGTTTCCTTGAAACCCTGCTTTCAATTTTGGGGGCTATATTCCCAGAAGTGGTATTGTTGGATCATATAGTAGTGCTATTCTCTGATTTTTCAGAACTAGCCACACTGTTGTCCACAGTGGCTAGACACCACTTTACATTCCCGTGAGCAGTGCTCGAGGGTTCAATTTCTCCACGCCCTCACCAACACTTGGTATTTTCTGTTTTTTTTTTTTTTTCCTTTATAGATTTTATTTATTTATTTCTAGAGAGAGGGAAGGGGAGGGAAAAAGGGAGAGAAACATCAATGTGTGGTTGCCTCTTGCGCGCCCCCTACTGGGGACCTTGGCCCACAACCCAGGCACGTGCCCTGACTGGGAATCAAACCAGTGACCCTTTGGTTTGTAGGCCAGCACTCAATCCACTGAGCCACACGAGCCAGGGATTTTTTTTTCTTTTATACTAGCCATCTCTAGTGAGTGTGAGGTATCTCATTATGGTTTTGATCTTCATTTCCCAGATGATGAGCGATAATGAACATCCTTCATGGGCTTGTTGGCCATTTGTGTATCTTCTTTAGAGAAATGTCTGTTCAAGCTCCTTGTCCATTTTTTGATTGAGTAGGAGTTTTTTTTAAAGATTGTGTGTATTTATTTTTAGAGAGGGGAAGGGAGAGAGAAAGACAAGGAGAGAAACATCGATGTGAGAGAGAAATGATCAGTTGCCTCTCAAATGTGCCCCTGCTGGGGACTGAACCCGCAGCCTGGGCATGTGCCCTGAGAGGACTTGAACCAGTGACTTTTCACTTTGTAGGAGGACACCCAGCAAACTGAGCCACACTGGTCAGGGCAGGAGGGTTTTTTTTTTTATAAGTACATTCTGGATACTAGACTTTTAGCAGATAATGATTTGCAAATATTTTTCTCCCATTCTTCAGATTGCTTTTTTTACTCTGTTGATTGTGTCCTTTGATACACAAAATTTAAATTTTATTTATTTATTTATTTATGAATGAGAGGGGAAGGGAGGGAGAAAGAGAGGGAGAGAAACATCGATGTGTGAGAGATACATCAATTACCCACAACCGGGGACCTGGCCCACAGCCCAGGCATGTGCCCTTGACTGGGAATGGAACTGGCGACCCTTTGGTTTGCAGGCTGGTGCTCAATCCCCTGAGCTACCCCAGCCAGGGCAGAAGTTTAAATTTTTGATGTAATCCCATTTCTTTTTATTTTTGTTGCTTGTACTTGCCTATTTTTTTTATTGGATTGTTTTTCTCCTTTTTATTGATTTGTGAGAGTCCTCTGAATCTTAAGGAAATTAGTCTTTTGTCATCTAAGATACAAATAGTTTTTCACATTTTATTGTCTTTTGACTTTGTTTCTGGCCTTTCTCTTCTCTTTTCCCAGAAAAGCCGTTACGAGACCTACATCCACCTCCTGGCTATGAAAATCAAAGTGGGCTCAGACGACCTGGAGCGGATTGAGGTCCGGCTGGCCGCCCTGGAAGGGGATGACCCTTCCCTCCGAAAGACACACTCAAGCCCTGCGCTCAGCCAGGGCCACGGAACTGTGACTGGCAGCAAAGCCACAAAGGATACCAGTGGAACTGATACTTAGTCGGCATGGATGGGCAGGCCCCGGAGGCAGGCAAATAATGCCCTGGAGGGGTCAGAGAGCACAATTCCAGCCAGGGGCCACTCGGACCAGCTCCATGCAGTAGACCGGCAGCCAGAGGGGTGTGGAGAGCCCTGTGGGCCGAGGAGATGGAGGTGTCCTTTATGGCATTGGTTTTGCATCCTGGGGCTTCTCTGGACCTCAGACCCTCTTGCTGGCCCTTGAATCCCTGTTCACCGTGGAGCCCAATTGTATAGGCCGGTTGTGTGCATGCTCTAGACACCATCTCACTGGTGAAGCAGAGAGGACAGTGGACTTCTCAGGCCCTCGTCTTCTTAGGAGTTCTTCCCTCATCTCCCTTGTTTCCGAGGGCAGGTCTTGACTCCAGGTCTCAGCTTGGACTCCCGCCCTTTGTCCTCCTCCTTCCTCTGAACTGACCAGCAGCAGGTCTGCAGACCACCAGCACTGTCTGCTCGCCCTCCACTCAGCAACCTCTGGAATCACGCCTGTTCTCCCTGTGTCACATCGCAGTGACCCAGGACCCTCCGTGCCAAGCTGTCGCAGCCCATGCGTGCATCGCCTCACCTTCCATCCATTGAGGCCACTACTGCTTTCTTTTATATGAACAGAAATGTGTATATATATATATAGGAATTATATATATATGGACTCCCTTTAAAGATGGTTTTGGAGCTGTGATATCAGTTGGAGGATGAAATAAGGTGAAGGAAGAGCCTCTCAGGGCTGCAACCTGACCGTCTCGTGGCCCTGGCACCCTGGGAGGGAAGGCAGAGATAGTGCTGACCTCCTCTCCATTTTTCCCCTCTTCCGGCTGACCTGTGACTTACGTTGCTCTTACAGTTGATGTTTTGGAATAAATAGACAGTGTGTGTGTGCACCACCCCATCTGTCCCGCAAGCATCATGGTGTGAGTGGGATGGGACCGGGGCTCTGTTTATTTTCTGGTCTTTATGTTGGTGCTGCCGGGTCTCTGAGCCCCAGAGGTGGCCTCTTGTTAAGATCTACTGTTACAGGAATAAGAGACGCTCTGCCTTGCAAATAGCCACCTGTCAACAAGCCCAAAGATGTTTGTTTGGTCGGGGAAGGTTATGGAAGCCCTTAATCCTCAGTCTTGGGAAAAGGCGAAATGACAAGTTGCTGCTTGTTTTTTAGGTCAATATTTCTTTCGTTCTTCTAGTGACTTTGAAATGCTAGCTAAGGACATGTCTGGGAAGAAAGAGAAACTTGCCACACGATGATCACAGACCAGCACCCGTTAAACCCTGCATCCCTCAGACCGTTGGTGGGGCGAAGGCACCCTCGGTGCGGCTGTGATGAGCGGGTCCTTTCTGTTTCCTAAATAGAGCACCATAGTTTGGCCAGCAATTTGACCTCACCGGTAACATGCTTAGTTAATAAGTCAACTTGCGACTAAGTACTCAGCATTTACAAGCCCACTCACATTTGATGCAGGGGACATGTGAGTCTATGGAGAGGTGCAGTGATTTAAATCCAGATTACTTAATTTGGATCCATTGAAGTATATTTGATATTTGAACCATCTGGCCCCTTCATTTTGCTGAGGGGAATTAAAAGGTCATTTAAGTGAAATTGAAAGAGCCGTGTGGCAACATAAAGAACTGTCTGTACTTTCTCCACGCTGTCTCAAAGTTCATTTGATTTTTGGGGTCAGCTTCCCATTGTCCATCTCCTGAGGGCAGGTGAGTGGGAGCAGAAAAACAAGCCCTGTCCGCTGCAGGCAGTTGTGCCTCCCATCAGTAAAAAAAAAATTTTAGTTCACTTTCTTAATTGTATCATTATTTATTGTAAATTATATACATGTACTACTGTACTAAAATATTATGTACATTATAAAACATACACAAAAATAGAAATTTAAAAAAGATGAGATGAAAATAAATCTAAATCAAAGTTCTAATATTTTTTTCCTGCATTCTAATGGACCATTATGTTCACCCCGCAACCTCTGCCCCTAAAGTAATGCCCATTTTCCAGGACTGTCCAAATCCAGGGCCTGGAGGACCCCAGGTGAGATGCTGTGAGTGGTTGCGCCACCTATTGGTCCTGGGAAGTAGCTGCAGCTCAGGGATTCCTGGGGGCTGGCTCCTTGAGACAGCTGAGAATTCCTCCTCTCATTCAATGAAGGTCACCTGTGCTGCTCATGGTGCTGGGGATGCTGTGGGGAGAAAAGGGCTGACCAGCTGTCTGTCCACATGGGGCTCACAGTCTAGAGGGGAGGAAGATAGGCAGTCACCATCACCATGTGGGACTCTGGGAGGGCTGGGGAGACAAGCCAAAAACGATCTGGCAGAGAGAAGAAAGAATTGGAGGAGTGGCGAAGAAGACTGACTCAGGAAGTCGCAGGAATGTCCTAAGTGCTCCTGGGGACAGAGTAGTAGTAAGGAAGTCATTTAACCGGAATACACGGCTTCCTGACAGGCTATACTAAAGATGCCCCAGTGCAGAAGTCTGGGAGGCAGAGCGGAGATGGGCCTCTCTGGCCACACCTGCTCCCAGGTCCCTTTCACACTGGTGAAATGAATGAGTGGCTGCAATGATGAGAAAAGAGTCAAAGTTCTGACCTTAGACCCCCAGCAGGTATCCTCAAATCCAGAGCAGATAATGAAGGCACCAAATGGGGACAGTGAAGGCCAACGAGTTTACCAGTTATTCAGTTATTTAGGGGTCAGTGGGTTCATTGGAATCTTGGAGGTGGTTTCTGATGGAAAGTTTAGAAGGTAACAGCAACTATGCCCTCAGAAGGGGCAACTGAGGACACTAAGCGCAGTCATGAAGAGGTCAATGGGTTCACCAAGAGTTCATTCTTAATTAGTTGGGGTCATGAAAAGGTCAATGGGTTCACCAAGAGTTCATTCTTAATTAGTTGGGGTCACACAGAGGTCAACGGGTTCATTGGAGTTCATAGAGGTGGTTTCTGACTAAAGTTCAGAAAGTAACAGCAACTCCCTCTCAGAAAGGTTAAATGAGGACACTAAGAGGGGTCATGGAGAGGTCAGTGGGTTCACCAAGAGTTCATTCCTAATTACTTGGGGTCATGAAAAGGTCACAGGGTTCATCAAAAGGTCATTGCTAATTACTTGGGGTCACATAGAGGAATCACTGGCTTTTAGAATATTTAAAAGCCAACAGCAGAGCCAGTAGAGGGGTCTGGATGAAAACATCAACTGGGGGTCAGCGATCTGCAGGTTTATGTAGCACTTAGTTCATTGTTTTCATTTGTTTCTTTGTAATGTGTTTTTTCTTCCAGTGACCCACCATAAATACAATGACATTTTAATTTTTCTCCATAACCTCCCTTTCATCCAGTGTTTGCCATTCTGTGATTTAAGAATGCAAGACACAGGATGTCCTCATCACCATCATCAGATGAGCTATTAACAGGCACCTACAGGCATACCTCATTTCACGTTGCTTTACTGTGTTTCACAGATGTTGCGTGTTTTAGAAATTGAAGCCAAGACCTTCCAGCAGCAAAAAGTTTGTGACTTTATTGCAAAACTTGCTTTACTGCAGTGGTCTGGACTGAGCCTGCCATATCTTTCAGGTATGCCTGTATCATATGCCAGAGCTACACTGGGTGCTTTATGTATAAAATTTCCACAACAACCCTTTAAAGTAGGTATTAGCATCATCATTTCAGTCGAGGAAACTGCAGCCTAGAGAAATCACACAGCTAATGAGGGGTGGAGGTAGAATTTGAACTCAGGCCCTATTGATACCTAAGTGCTTTCGATCCTAAATCTCTCTGTCCCTCTCACCTGTAGGTCTCAAAACTGACCAGACACACCCTGGGGGCATTTGAGGACGCATATCCACAAGTCAAACCCCTGAGCAATTTGTGTAGACTTCCTTATGTTGGGCTGGAACCTAATGGCTCCTGGTGCTGGGCACTGTTTTAATAAATTAATCAATGAGGCTGAAGGCTTCTTAACCCTGGACCTCTGCCTTCTCCACGCCTGAAATCATGTACTCTTCATCAGAGACTGCGGGTTCAGACAAGCCCTGGCTCTGAGGGGTCGAGAGTCGGGAAAAGTGTAACACCCTGTGGGCTTACAAGCTGCAGCAGCTGTGGTCTTCCTGGCGGCTGAGGGTTCCTATTATCCACCTTGCATGTCCAGACATTGCCTGTGACAGGCCTGAGGCCCCAAGGGTCATCTCGCCTCAGCAGCCCCAGTGCCAACCCCGCAATCCTTCCCTCCTCACCTACCTAGGCCCAGAAATAGTTGCCTCAGTCAGCTCCTGCAGCTCCAGGGCAGGAACTGGGCCAGGGTTCTGAGGCTGAGCTTGAAGCAGACTAATTTGCGTCAGCCCCTTGGCCAGGATCCCCAGCAGCCAGAGGGGATACCTTGTGAATGTTCCTGGAAGAGGGAGGAGGGTTGGAGCCTGTCCTGGGAACTGGAGCCAGGGAGATTGGAGGGAGTGTCTTTTCCTCCCAGGGATTACCCTGGCCCTCTCCAACTTCCCCCAACATCCATCCATCTCTACCCCGGGTCTTCATCCTCTGTCTGCCCTCCTCGCCAGGGGGCTAGGCACACACAGTCAAACATGAGTTATTTCTGATTTTATTTATAATATAAAAATGTTCAAGTGTCAACAGTCAGGTGTTTGGACAATTCAGGACAGGGTTCTCATTTGTTTGGGATATCTTTTAAACAATTACCTTTTGACAAATTAGCAGTGGACTCAGTTTGGGGGAGGGTGGGGAGGACGAGGCTAGAGAGGGAGTGGAAGTCATAGGTGGGTTGGAGGCTGGGAGTCGGGCTGAGAAGGAAATGGTGATACTTTATTGCTAAAAGGGGGATCAAATAGACTGTCCAGTGGCTCTTCTCGGTCCCAGCGTGACCATGCATCCAATCTAAAGAATCTGAAATGCAAAGGACATGCAGGCATAAAATAGAAAAGACGACCTGTAAACGAAGGTGCTGCAGAGGACGAGGGCGTCCTGGAGGCCATGGGGGAGGGAGAGCCTCGAACAAAGGGGCCCTGGCAGAGCTGCCCCCTCCCTGGGGCAGGGACTGTTGGGAAGACCTGGTGGTTCTCAGTGCCCCTTCCCTTAGCAGCTGTGAGGAGTGGGGAGGCCCCCTCCCCATTCAGGTTGCTGTCGCTGGGCCTTAGTCTCCCTCTGGACGTGACATGACCCAACTCTAGCTCCAAGCCTAGGATCCCTAGCCTTTCCTTAGGGGACCCAGGACTCAATATCTTGCAAAGGGGCAAAGGGCCAATCCATCACTGTCCCGCCCCTCAACCCCGCAGACTCTTCTCTGCCCCTTTTCTGTCACCCCCACCAGCTTGGGATCCTACATTCCCCCTCACCCCCACCCCACAACCCAGACTTTTCTCCAGGAGCTCCAGATTAGCGTACAGCAAAAGGCACCACAATATAGGTTTCTATTAAAGAGTCAAAAAATTGGCCCATCTCTCTTTTTTTTTGTTGTTTCTTTTTTTTTCCGAAGCTGTAAATCAGGATGTTACATATAAATAGTTTCCCTATAAAAACGTCTTTGCCGTTAGCTAGTATTATAAGACAATTTTTGCTAAAATGAAAATAAAACATTTTGTTATACCTTTTTCCTTTTATAGAAAATAAAAATATTTTTATTTCTTTTTCTCCTCCTTTCTCCAGTCGGTAGTCTCCCTTCTCCTTAAAGACCGGGGAGGGGGGAGGGCGGGCCCTAGAGGGGCGCCGAGTCCTGCTTGGCCCGCGCGGGCGGCCCGCGGCTGTGTCTGCTGCTGGCCTGGGTGCTGTGGCTTTCCAGGGAGTAGTAAGTCCTGCTGTCCGCTGCCCCGCACAGCGGCGGCGAGTCCGAGCGCAGCGCCTCGTGCGCCGCGCGCAGGCCGAGGAAAGGCGTGCTCTCTGCTGCCAGCGCCCCGTCTGCGTCGTCCTCGTCGTCGTCCGAAGCTGAGACCGAGCCGCCTCCAGAACCGCTGCTCAGAGACAGCGAGTCCCGCGCCGCGCGTGCGCGCTGCGCCGCCAGCCCATTGAGGCGCGAGCGGCGCCAGCGCCGGGGCCCCGCCGACGTCCTGCGAGACGCACCACGAGCGCGTGGCGGTGGCGGCGGTGGGGGCACGCACTCCTGCGTGGTCTCGTACTCGTCGTCCTCCGGGATGCGGAAGGGGCTGGCGGGCAGGCTGCCCAGGCTGCCGCCCAGAGCGCAGGCGCTGCGCCGCGGCCCCGGCCCCACTGCGGGGTAGTAGTAGCTGTCGTAGTTGCGCTGCATGTCGACACCGGGCCCGGGCTCGGGGCCGGGGGGCGCCGGGTGCCGCAGGAGCGGCTGCTGCTCCGCCAGGCGGTAACTGATAGGCGCGGCCGGCGGCAGCGACACAGCGTGCGCGGAGTTGGGGGACGTGATCTCGAAAGTCGGCACCTGCGTGGCCAGCGAGTAGTGGAAGTCCACCGGAGAGAGGCGTGCAGGTGTGGTCAGGGCCGACACATACCTGCAGGAGAGGCAGAGGTGTGGGCTGGGGGCCTGGGTGAACACAGATCACGAACGCCTGCCAGAGCTATGGTGGTAATCCTCAGTGACCTTAAGCAATTTCCTGAACTTTTCCGAGCCTCAGTTTCCTTATCTGTTAAGTGGGGACAAACCACGAGTCCGTAAATGTATCAGTGGGATGTTATAGCCTAATGCCTGCCTGACCCTCAGTAAACCTCCATGAATGGTCCTTTGCTGTGTGGATGCCCAGTCATCGGTATTCCTGAACGGTTACCCTCCCTCAGGCTCAGGCTGGGGCATCTGACAACTTGTAGAATCTCATCTAATACACTAATTCTGTAAGATCCTATGTTATCCCATATGGCATGTGAGGCGACTGAGACCCAGAAATTGAAGTCACTAAAGGTTCACACGGCCAGGGAA